TCTGACAGACTTTTTTGTGAAGCAGGGAATTTTGAAGGACTGTCTTACCTTGTCTTGGCAAAGTTTGACAGTCACCTTTCTTGCATCCTGCTGGTCCAGTTTGGACAGTGTATTGTTAGCAATTGAGGCAAGGGCAGTTTTTTTGTCCACATGACTGGCTTTTACTATAAAGAAAACAAATTCCACATGGAGTTTTTTTGATGTCCATCATCTTCTCTGAGGTAGATTGGTGCTGCCAGGAACAGTCATGTCTCATTGTCATGAAAAGCCTTAGGTTATTAAACATATTAAATGTCATATTCTGTAGGTCTTTGAAGTGTTTGAAGACCATCTGTCTTTCTAAACATATCTGTATATGACCTTAAAAACATACGTAATGTCTATAAGTTTGACTATTATAGATGACTAACTACGAATCTGTATTTTTTAAATTATACATTACATTTTTAAATGAGCTGCATAAGCACAATACCCCAAATAAGAGTAAAAATATACATATAGTATAACAAAATTAACTTTAAATTTGTATCAATAAACCAGAATCCATATCAATGTAAAATATTTAAGATTAGTAATTGTTGTTTGGATTAAAGTAGATTCACTTTTATCCTATTATTTCTATAATCCCCCTTTTCTTTTTAGAATAAACTCCCTGAATCTAATCTCCTTTGTTCAGCTTTTTTTCCTGACCATTACCAATAACAACTTGTAACCAACTCCCCTTAAATGATAATAAATATCCATTACCCATTTTTTGAGAATGTGGGCATAGTTCTCTAGACTACTTCTTATTGATTGGGGGTGCTGGTAATCTTTGAGGGAACTTTGAGAAAATCAGGATAATTGTTAAGTCTTGGGTACAGTATTTTGTGAGGCTGGATCATCTCAGTCAGCAGCCTAGAAGCTGTCCTGGATGCTGGATCACATGGGCTATCATTTTCATCTGTGTGAGGTCTCCTTGCTCTGAAAATAATGAACTCTTTTTTTTTTTGTTTTGGTTTAGTTTGGTTTGGTTTTTTTCAAGGAAAGGTTTCTCTGTGTAGTTTTGGTGCCTGTCCTGGAACTCACTCTGTAGACCAGGCTGGTCTCAAACTCACAGAGATCCACCTGCCTCTGCCTCCCGAGTTCTGGGATTAAAGGTGTGAGCCACCACCGTCTGGCTGAAAATACATAATCTTTTAAAGGTAACAAACATAGCTGTATTAGTACAAGTGTAGATTGTGTATTGTACACAAGTCAGTTAAAGATGCTTTAACTGACTTGTGTACACAGAGAAACCCTGTCTTGAAAAAAAAAAAGATGCTTTTTTTTGGTGATGTGTTTGAGCAGGTAAAATATACACCACATGTCTTGAGGTTCTTTTGGGTTTATTTTTTTTATGTTTGTAGCCAAGATTTTCAGGGGGTCTTCCTCAATCAAACCTGATTTTCCTTAACCCAGAATGAATCCAGAGCCTCTCATTTCCTATGGAAAGAAAATCATAACCTCTCCCCCAAAGTAACATATCTTTTGACTTAAATTTTGAAGTCAAGATGTTTTTAAAATATATAGATTGGTTTAATCCAACAACCTCCATAATCCAATGTCTTTTAGCAACCAAAAAAAATTAAAGACAACATAATAACATACAGGATTCAGACTCTGTGTATTTTTCATCTTTACATGGCTTATTATATTTTCACTACTCTATTTTTAAGGACCTTATTATTTTAAAACTATATTTTTTAAATCTAAGACTGTATATATTCTTTTTTTCTCTCTCTCTCCCAAGCCTACACATATTTTTTTAAACACACTGTGACCTTTTTAGAGGCTCTTTTTGTCTGAATCTGTCCTTACTGCACATCTGTAACTTTTTCTGTCTGCATGAGAAAAAAAAAAAGGAAAAAAGAAAAAAAGAAAGAAAACCTGCTGTGTAAGTTAAATAATGGTGTGTTGGCTGCTAGCTCCTCCCCCTTGGTTCCCTAAGAGGATAGTCTTATGGTAGAGGTGTATTTACCTCCAACTCTGGGAGCCATGTTGACAGCCCCAACTTTGGGAAGTTTCTGGGCCCATGCCACCACCGAGTAGCATGCCTCCCACTGTTCATAAACACCATGTAAGTGTTTGGTAGCAGGCAAGAGCCGCCTGTTTTTGCCACTAGCACCGAGCCAGGAAGCTGTCTCTTAAAGGAACCACACCTCTGCTTGATGCCAGCAAACAGAGCTCACCTGAGAAATTGTGGCTACCAAGAAGCCATGCTTGACTCAGTTCTTGTGTGCCTAGAATCCCTTTTAAGCTTTTGTCAGGTTTTACGTGGAAATTCCAGCCCCATGTTGGGCACCATATGTTGTCCAGTGTTTCTCTCCCACCTATCAGTTCCCAAATAACCATTCAGAGGCTTAATATTAATTATAAAAGCTCAGCCAATAGCTCAGGCTTGTTACTAGCTAACTCTTATACTTAAATTAACCCTTATCTATCTATCTATCTATCTATCTATCTATCTATCTATCTATCTATCTATCTATCTATTATCTATCTATCTATTTATTTTGGCTTTTCAAAACAGGGTTTCTCTGTATAGTTTTGGTGCCTGTCCTGGATCTTGCTCTATAGACCAGGCTGGCCTTGAACTCACAGAGATCCACCTGGCTCTGCTTCCCGAGTGCTGGGATTAAAGGTGTGCACCACCACCACCTGGCTTAACCCATATTTCTTATCTAAGCTTCACCACATGGCTCATGGCTTGTTACCTCATTTCTATATACCTTGCTTCCCCGGCAGCTGGCTGCCATCTCCTCTGACTCTGCCCTTCCTCCTCCCAGAGTCCTCTGTGTCTGGCTGTCCCGCCTACTACTACTTCCTGCCTGGCTATCAGCCTGTCAGCTTTTTATTAGCCAATGAGAGTCATACATATTGGCAGTGTACAAAAAGATTATTCCACAACAGTGGTACCTCTCCTTTGGGCAGTTATCAGCTGTTCCCCAGTCACTGGCTTCTACTCTGACCCCCTCTGTTCTTTGCCATCTGGTCCTTTGCCTCTGAGAGCTGCTTATCCTGGTGGCTTTTGTCTCATGCTGATGTCTCCAGGCTGTCTTCTGGGTCGACACCCACAGCTCCTCCACGTATCTAGCCACACCATTGTCCTCCATTCTCCTCTTTCCCCACCTTTCCAGCCGGTGACAGAAGCTCTATTTTATTTCTTCACTTTCTTGGGCTAAAAACCTCAGAGTCATCCCAACTTCTGTCCTTCTGTCGTCTTCCCCATCCAGTCTGCTAGGAACTCCTGCTGACTCCATGTTCCAAGTGGCCAGCTGCTTTCCACCACCTGCATATGGCCAGCCCTGCCCAGATCACCACGGCCTGGATGCTGAGGGTCCTCTCTTTCCTCATGTGTCCCTTCCTTCTCCCTGTATCCTCAATCCAAGGATCCTTTAAAACTTCGGTGACTTTATGCCACTCATGCCTGTCCTCGACATCCCTTGTCCAGCCAGAGTCTGTTTGTCCCCCTCAACACACTGGGAGACCTTTGTCTCTGCTTAGAAGGATGCTTCCGCATACCAGCAAAAGGGTGGCTTGCACCTCAAGTGGTCACTGATGCTCTTCCTGTATGCTCCTCCCCACTAGGGTACCATGAAGGAAGGCTTTTTATTGGTCACGTTATTGAGGTACCACCAGCACATGTATGGCACAAAGCAGTGGATCACAAAATATTTGAATGAATGAATGAATGAATGATAAGTGAATGAATGAATAAGACTTCTCTTGAATGAGAGCAAAGAGACTCAGGGTAGGTAGGGTGAGGTCTAGAGCCCAGATGAAAGTCTTTGGGAGTTCAAACAGGCTTGCAGGCCAGTAGGTCAGTTTGAGCACTGCCACACTTAGTCATTAAGCACTGAAAAGTTCTAATGCTTGTGACTGTGGTTTGGCATCTGGGGCTTACCAGAATGCCCAGCTCCACTGAGTAAGCACAGCCAGGGTAGGTGCTGGTCTACTTGGCCCTTAGGTAAAGCAGGGAGTTTACCAGCCAGGGAGATAAACTCAGTTTGTGAAGTGCTTGCTTCCAAAGCATGGAGACCCAAGTTTAGTCCTCAGAAAGTGTCAGGTGTGGTTGTGAACCAGAAATCCCTGGGGTGTGTTGAATAGCCAGGCTAGTCTAATTGGTGAGCTCTAAGCCAATGAGAGGCTCTGTCTTAAAAGAGATGCAAAGCATTCTTGAGAACGGCACCTAAGGTTGTCCTCTGGGCACTTGCATACAAGTGTGTGCATACACACACACACACACACACACACACACACACCCACACACACACACACCATAAATTACATTGACAAGGAGTTTATTGGGTTACTCCTCTGCACTCGGCATCCTGCATCCTTAGGGGTCTTGTCTTTCCTAGAGAGGAACAGCTGTGAACCCCATCCACGTGGGGGGTCTCATGAACACAGTGACTCTGTCTGCCAACTTGAGCTTTCCTACTCTGAGGTCTAGCTTCCCTTTGTGAGATATGCCAATTTCTATATACGAGAAGCTCCACAAGAGAGCGATGGGAAGACACATGTACACTTGCATTTTGCAATTTAAAAAAAAAATGTTTTTCCAAACAGAGTTTCTCTGTGTAACCCTGGCTGTCCTGGAACTCACACTGTAGACCAGACCGGCCTTGAACTCACAGAGATCCTGCCTGTCTCTGCCTCCTGAGTGCTGGGATTAATGGTGTGAGGCACCACTGCTTAGTGCCACCACTGTCTAGTCTTTGCAACTTTGAGAAAAGGGTAAAGCAGTATAAAATAAGGGATTGCTCAGGGAGTCGGAGCTGCTCTGTCTGCATAGTTACGGGCTTGTAACCTTGTAGACAATTGTAACCTCGTAGCCCAAATGGGCCAGCTCTTCTTCCTTGATGTCATAATTCCAAACCCATCACTGGTCCCTGGGTCTCATGTGTCCCCCAGCCTAGCTGACTGGTGTCCTCAGTACCACGTCCCCATGCTCCCCAGCATCTTTCTGTGTTTTGCAGAGTGGGGAGAATTCCCTGAGTCTGACGGAGACCTTCCACCAGGCTGGGAGCCTGAGTGTGCCCAGGATGTCTTCCACTCCAGAGGACATGACCCCAACGCTTCGCAACATGACGGCAAATGAGTGTTTTCAGTCCCGGAGCACTGTCCTTCAGGGGCAGCCCTTTGGGGGGATCCCCACTGTGCTTGTCCTCAACCTCATCTTATGGGTGGTAAGTCTTGGGTGCTTTGGGAGAGACACAGGGAGGTCTTAGCCAGGGTAGGATGACCAAGAATATAGTGGGGATCCCAGTTGTCCAAAGGACACCAACCACACAGTGATGGTCCAACCTAGGGGGCTCAGGTGGGAGGGCTTTGGGGTTGGAGGAAGAGGCAGTACTTCTGAGGTTCTCTCTACATCACCAAGGCAAAGTCCGTCTGTCCGTACCTTTGGCCCATCCTTCTCTGCCCCCTTGCTGATGTTTGCCATGGGGTATTCTTGTTTAATTGCTCTAAACCCACCCTCAGCTCCTCCATTCAACAAGCTGACCATCCGCTCTAGGTCAGGAAATGCCCAGTTCAAAGGGACGGGTCCTCCCGAGGCAGAACTTATCATCTGATGGGGGCGGGGGCACTCTATAGACGTCAGGGATAGGGTGTCCCTCGTGGGAATGCAGGGAACCGGTGCAGAAGGAGGCCTGTGTGTGAGAAGTCTCCTGCTCCACAATGCTTTTCTGGGTCTTCAGTTCGTTGTGGTGCTCTATTCCTTCCTCCGGAAAGCTGCATGGGACTACGGGCGCCTGGCTCTGCTGATCCACAATGACAGGTAAGGCCCGCCCCCCCCCGCCCCCCCCCCCCCCCCCCCCCCCCCCCCCCCCCCGGCGGCGAGCACCCTACTCCCTGGGGAGATACTGCCTAGTGCCAAAGCTGCAGGAAGTGTCTCATCAGCGAGTGGCCCCCTCTCCCTCGCCTTTGCCCCTGCATTGACCTTGCTGAAGGGACAGGAACATGAAGGGCAGAAAGCCATGTTTGTGACTAGCTTTTCTGGAACCCGCGGCTGGACTCCCAAAGCGCATTCTGCACCTGGCAACAGGGGTAGTTCTGTCTATACCCCCTCGCCCCCGGAGCTGTGTGTCCAGCTTGGAAGCTGAGGCTCAGAGCTCTGAGAAAGAGTAGCCGGTGTCCCCCAGATGGGGAGCAGAGAGGGAGCAAGGCAGGTGTCTGAGACCCTGTCTCTCCTCCACCTCCCTGCTACCCTTCCTGCTGGGCAGCCTGACCTCGCTGATCTATGGGGAGCAAAGTGAGAAGTCATCTCCCTCAGATGCTTCCTTGGAGGCGGAACGCAGGGACAAGGTGAGTGCTGGGAGTGGTCTGGGCCCCCAAGGGACCCCAGCCCTGGGCGGGCAGGCGTGGCGCACAGAATAGCAGCTGCTTCTTCAGCCTCCCCAGATGTAGTTTTCCCACCAGGAAGATGGGAGTACTAACCATCCCTGGATCCTAGTGTGCCTTCCTTTTATCAGGCAGGGAGGGCTTCTCAACTTTGTCCAGCCCTGCCCCGCACAACCCCGTGTCCTGCTCTCTCTTTCCCGTGGAATTCTACCTTTGCCATTTGCTTGGCCAGTTTCCATGGGGACCTGTGGTGTGTTCACTGCTTCTCCGGGGCAGGGGGATGGACAATGCATACCACGGACCACGTCCTGCCTCTTGATACTTTCTTCCAGGGCTGGGAGACAAGCAGATAAATGCATTCAGGACAATGATGAGTGCATGATGGGAAAGGGGGACGAGAAAGGCTTATGACAGTGGAGGGTGGGAGCGGCATTGTGGGTCGTGATCATCTGAGCATTGAAATGATGGCTGAGCGGAGACCCGACTGGAGAAGGGAAGAAGCAGAGTGCCCGTCTGTGCTCCTCGTGAGCGCCACACTGCTGTTCCCACCCGCCGCCTCAGCTGACTAGACCGTGGTCATTGTCCTCACGTCCCACCCTTCCCCAACCTCCTCAAGTGTGTCATCACCCCCTGACTCCCCAAGGCCATCAGTGGCCCTCTATGTCACTACCTCTAAGTCCAGTGGTCTCGCCTCAGTCCTCATCTTAGCCTGTCCCTCAGAAAGAGAGGCATATCCAAACTGATGACTGAGGGCCACATGTGTCCCAGGATAGCTATGGATATGGACCGACTCATTTGCAGATGACAATGTTATATCACAGTGTCACAAAGTTTGGGTACACTTGCTGGCATCTTTCTGCCTTCAACAGGTACACGCAGTTGGGTCTATGGCATGTTCTGTGGGATTTCCCACCCTAAACCTCTGTCCCCTCTGCAGAGTCCTCCACTGTTAGAGTTCCCTTACTATCCCAAGCCCCCTCCCTCTGCCTCCACACTCTCTGTCTCTGAGTCATGACATCCATTCTCACAACCTCAGCTGTCATCATTATAGTTCCACCTCCGAACATGTCCTTCCTGCTAGTCCTGAAGGCCTCCAACCTCTCTTATCCAGTGACCTTCAAAATAGCTCCACACGATACCAGAAAGGGATTCAGTATGTCTAAAACCCCCCATGACACCCTCCAACCACTTCTAATGTCCGATCTCAGCCCTTTCTTGTGCCTGTCTCAGTCTTAGCCAGGTACCCGGGCACGGCCCGTTCCTTTCCCAAGCTGTGATGCGTTTACCTTCGCGGTCTTGTTCCTCCCCAGTCAGCCCTGCTCAGGCCTCCACCCGTGTCTTGCCTGGATGGCCTCAGCAGCTCTAAGTGATCTCCTGAGGTCCTCTCTTGTTCCCATCCCATCCATCTTCCGTCTGCATCCAGAGCCATCCCTGTGAACCAAGACACTGGTTCTCTAATGCTTCCTTTCAATATCTTCCTAATGCTTTTCCAGTCCATTGCAGATGTCTTCCACGGCCTGTCAGTTTGCTCCCTTGCCCCAGACCCAATCTGTGTGTCAACAGTGGCTGTTGCCTCTTTCCCATCTCAGAGCCTTCCACCTGTTCCTCCTCATTCCCCAGAGACCCCCCTTTTTTTGAGTCTCCTCACTCTGGGACCCTAACCAACCCGTTTGGATCCAGGACTTCTGTTTTTGGCTCGTGGAGAAAGCGTTCCTTTTCTTTAGCATCCCTGGCCCTGCTGAAATGACCCCTTATCTGCATGACTAGCTTCCTGTGTCTGCTTCCCCCAGTGACCCCCGCATCTGAATACCCAGCCCATGCTGTAATGAACAGAATACAGATCTCTTGTGTGCAGTTAGCAGAAGCACGTTCCTTCTGTGGCCACCCCTTCGAGAGACCAGCCTGTCTTCGAAAGACCTCTTGTCAGGCTGGGCTTCATCCAGTATACGAAGGCTCAGGGGGTCATTCTGGCTCTTGGAGACTCAAGGTCAAAGGAAGGCAGTGGCACTGGCCTTGCATTATGGTACACAGGCTTATTTTCAGACACACTGCCCTGTGCCTCTGTGTCTGAAAAATAAGCCTGTGTACCACATTGCAATGATAAAGAGATTATTTTCTTTCTTAAATTTTAAGAAGCCTGTCATCAGCCTAGACTCCGTAGTAAGTTCTAAGCAAGCCTGGGATGTAGTAGGACTTTGTTTTAAAAGCCAAACAAGAGAGAGAAAGAAAGAAAGAAAGAAAGAAAGAAAGAAAGAAAGAAAGAAAGAAAGAAAAAAGGAAAAAAGAAAGAAAGAAAGAAAGAAAGAAAGAGAAAGGAAGGAAGGAAGGAAGGAAGAAAGAAAGAAAGAAAGAAAGAAAGAAAGAAAGAAAGAAAGAAAGAAAGAAAGAAAAAGAAAGAAAGACTGAGAAGGCAAAGGAGGAGGGCAAGCTCAGGGAGGTAGTCTTTATTACAGAGCAGCTCTCAGCCAAGTGGGTCCCACCAGAGTGCTCTGGTAAGTCAGGCATTTGTTGTTACCCCTGTGTAGTAAGGGTGTGGAGGACGGAGACAGAGAAACACTCCCTGTGCCATGCCAGCACTCGTTCTCATCAGCTGAGCCAGCTCCTGGCAGCCGGTGGCCCTTCCCTGTGGGGTGGGCTAAGAAGAAAGGGAGTGTCTGCCTCCCCGGCTGCCTTTCAGTTCCTGGCTTGGCTGAGGAGCTCTGGCTTCAAGGACATTGTGTTAGTCACAGCTAAACAACCAGTGGTGGGAAGGTCTGTTTAGGCCCAGTCCGATTCGGAGGACTCAATCTACGCTCCGCTGACTCCTCTACTGATGGAGAGAGGGAGACGGGGAGATGAGGAACAAGATACACTCTTCAGAAGTGCGCCCCACTGGCCTCCATTCCCCCCACCTCCTAAGAGCCCATTCACCTATGACCATCAGTGGACTGACCCATGAATGATGTTAGCACACTCACATCTTTGTGGTGGCACCAGCTGGGACCACACCTTTAATACGGGAGCCTTTAAGAGGGAGGAGGTGTCACTTTGTACCCAAACTCAGAAGATGGGCCTTGTGCCAAGGGAACAATTGATTTTCTTGCTGCTTCCTTTTAGGGAAGACCTTTCTCCAATCCCCTTGGCTCTAGAGGTCTGTCAGTCTCCTGGGCCCTCTTAGTTCATAGAAAAGATACACACAAGATGGGCCCAATCCGGAGATGCAGCCTTGTCCAAGCTCTTGCTACCCATCTTTGACCTTGGAGGGAATTAAACACATAAGGGCACTTAACTGACTACCAGCTCTGGCATCTGAGAGCCACAGGCCCCAGTTCACCCTCATAGGGAGCCTTCACAAGCGGACTCTCTCTTGGGGCTCCCCGCAACCTTCCCATGGTTGAGGCTGCCTTTCCCTGCTACCTGGAAACTCTAGACAGCAAGATCCAAGAGAAAGGCGTCTTCAACGGAACAAGACACTGAGATGCAAGAGCCAAGGCTCGCTCAAACTGGTTTTCACCACAAAAAGGTCGTTTAAGGCTCAGGTTTTGGGGAAATTCAAGACAAACAGCGGCTTCAGGCACAGCTAGATACCGGAAGTCCAGCACTGCCCACAGGGCCCCTCTGGGGTCTCCTCCTTTGAGCTGGCTTTGTTCTCAAGCTGTCTGCATGTGGCATCAGCGATGGCATCAAGACACTGCAGAGTTTGTGGCACTTAGGCATACAGAAGGAGAGAGAGAGAGAGAGACTCCCAACACCCATACCCGTCCTCTTCAGAGAATTTTAATTAGCTTCTCCTGTTGGGTCATTTTCCCATTGGCCAGCCAATCACTGAAGGTAAACTCACATGTGATGGACAGCACTAGACCACATGTATGTAGGGGATGGTGATTTCTCAGAAGGAAGCAACAAGAGGCAGGAACAGCATCCACCCACCCAGGAGTCCCTCTGACCCTCCTTCCGAGCCCCATTCCCTGTATCAGGATGGCAAGGTTGTCCACTCACTTCCAGGGAGACATTTCCCTCAGCACTTACCCTGTTCTAGAAAACTCCATCTATGGAAGGAGACTCCCAACAGAACCCTTTGCTGTCTGGGTCCCCATAGTCAGGCAAAATCAGCCAGGCTGACTTTTCTCACAGTTTATCTCCTTTCCTCCTCCAGGGCTTCTGTTCCTGGTTCTTCAACAGCCTAACCATGAAGTAAGTGCCATTCTTGGGGATTCTGTTAGTGCTGGTCGGGGCCGAGGTGAGATAGAAAGGGCTGCAGAGATCAGCAGACCCTCCCAGGATGACAGGCCGGAGTCCTGTACCCTACTCTATCTCTGCCTCACCTAGTGTAGGCAGAGAGCCCTTCCCCAGGTTGTAGCTGGTGAATGGGCACTGAGCACAGCACTCGGCCCATGCCACCTCTGCCTTAACCCTCAGGGAGGGACCCCCGTGTAAAAGTGGAATCATTACTCCCATGAGTACGAAAGCAAGCCTTCTGCCCTAGGAAAAGTGATCCTTCTTTGCATGCCGATCGCTTGGTTTCTGTGTTCACATTGGTCAAGGAGAATCAATTATCTGGAGCAGAAGGACCAGTGTCTCCTCTCTGAGCTTGGATGGCAAAGGCACAGCCTTGTGGTTCTTGCCCACCCCACCTTCTGGATTTCTGTAGAGCCAGACCCCAAGACACTTGCTCTCTGTCATTTCCCCACTACCAGCCTGATACTTCAGTTGAACATATATTTGAGTGAGTTTTGGCTACACCCTTGGTGCAGAGATACACACACACACACACACACACACACACACACACACACACGCATATTCATGCCTACTCATGTGTACAGGCATGTACAATCTTGCACAGAGGCATGTACACTCATGACCTCTCATATCTACAGACATACACTCATACATACAGGCAGCATGTACACATGGGCACACAGGCATATATACACATGCACACAGGCATGTACACTCACGCATACACGCACATGCATAGTTTTTCCTTGGCTGTGCTCAGAGTCACATATAATTCTGGACTCTCTCTAAATTTTGCCAATCTCCTGTCCCTTCTCCAGGGTCTTTTCTTTCCTGGTGACTCCTGCTCTACAGGGCACAGCCTCACTACTCCTTAGGAACTGTATTAGTCAGAGTTCTGTAAAGGATCAGAACTTATAGAGTGGATCTCTAAATAGAGAAAGGGGATTTTTTAGAGTGACTTACAGGCTATGGTCCAGCTAATCCAACAACGGCTGGCTATGAACAGTTCAATAATCCAGTAGTTGTTCAGTCTACCAGGCTGGATGTCTCAGCTGGTCTTCAGTATACACTGGTATCCCGAAGAAATAGGTTCTAATGCCAGTGAAGGAATGTACTTGCCAGCAATAGTGAGAGCAAGCAGGCAAAGAGAGAGCAAGCTTCCTTCTCCCACGTCCTCTATACAGACTGGCAACAGAAGGTGTGGCCCAGACTAAAGGTGGATCTTCCCACCCCAAAGACCTGGACTAGAAGTGGATCTTCCTATTTAAATAATTTAATTAAGAAAAAAAAACCCCTCACCATCATGCCCAGTCATTTGGGCCTTAGTTAATTCCAGATGTAGTCAAGTTAACCACCAAGAGCAGCTGTCACAGAGACCATATACTGTCCTGGGTGGCCCTGCTACTCTGCTTCCCTCTGCGAAGGCTGCTGGACTCCATGTTTCTCCACATTCACCATTCCTAGCTAGGCCTTGCTGAGGCCCACCTCCAGGGGCCATCAGGGCATGTCTCTTTCCCATCTGGGGATCCCACAGGGTCCCAGGGAACTCAAGCTGGGCCATGGACACGCTGAACTGTGCCTAGGACTGTGCCTTCCACTGGGGGTTCAGCATGACCTTGGCCTCCACTGCTCCCCCATCCTTCCCTCACCACAGTCCCCAGAAAATGAAGCAGCTGTTATTCTGTATGGGTCAAGTGTCATATGTGGGCCAGTCAAGGGCAGTGTTTTAGATCTCTTCACTCCTCTGGTTTCGCTTGCTTTGTTAATTTATTAAACACACATAAGCCAGAGCACACCTGTTTTCATTACTAGAAAGATTAAAAGTCCACCGTCATTCTTATACAGGCACAAGCCCACTATTTTATTATGTTTATCTTATTTTCTTGAGATCAGGCCTCACTATGTAGCCCAGGATGGCCTTCAACTTGTGATCTCCTGTCTCAGTCTCCTAAATGCTAGGATTACAGGTTTGTACCATCAGGCCTAGCTTACTTTAGTATTTTAATCCATAGTGTTTATCACTATGTTTCTTGTTACTATAATGAAATACTTAAGGCCAGGTAACTTTATAAAAAAAAAATGAAGAAACCTATTAAGTTAGAAATTCTAAAGATTCAAAGGCAGGGTGCGGGCATCAGCTCAACTCTGGTGTGGCCCCCAGGCAGATGGTGTTACATATACAGGCAAGATCATGTCCTAAGGCAGGAAGTCAGACCTTAAGTCAGGAGTCAGGTGCAACTTTAATTTCTTTTTTTAATTTTTTTTTATTTATATTTTATGTATGAGGGCTCAACATGTCTACTTGCAGGCCAGAGGAGGGCATCAGATCCTATTTACAGATGGTTGTGAGCCACCATGTGGTTGCTGGGAATAAAACTCAGGACCTCTGGAAGAGCAGCCAATGCTCTTAACCACTGAGCCATGTCTCCAGCCCCAAAGATTTGTTTATTTATTTTATGTATATAGTGCTCTATCTGCATGTATGCCTGCATGACAGAAGAGGGCATCAGACCTCAGTATAGATGGTTGTGAGCCATTATGTGGGTGCTGGGAATTGAATTTACGTTCTCTGGAAGAGCAGCCAGTGCCCTTAACCTCTGAGCCAGCTCTCCAGTTTAATTTCTTTTCTTTCTTTTTCTTTTCTTTTCTTTTCTTTTTTTATAGTTCTGGGGATCCAGCCCAGAGCCTTGTGCAGCATGCACTCTGTCCCTGAGCCCCACTGATCCCAGAGAGGAGTTTTTATAACTCATCCTTGCGAGAAATAATTTATGGGTTCCCATGAGAGTTACTTTCTGGAGGCAATGCTCCCCAGATTTCGTTGAACAGTTCTACCACTTCTTAATGATAATGCAGACCAGGCATGTAATGCAGGAACCCTCAGGAGGGCAAGACACATCCAAACCATAGCTCATGTCTGAACATCTGTTCCCGGGGATGCAGTGCACACCAGCCACAATAGGTTCGAGCATTTGGCAAATTCACGGCTTCTAGAAGCAGGGTGGGGCGTTTTTCATTCCTTCGTATGGGAACAAGGGAAAGAGAGTTGGGATAAATAAGTTCACTTGACTGACCACATCCTTAAGTGTGGAGGGAGTTTGAAGCCGACTTTCTGCATTTTCTCCACCGCTGGCAGGTAATTTTAGGTTTGTTTCCCACTGCTGTGCTGAAATACCCTGACAAAAGCCACTTGAGGGAGGACAGTTCCAGGTCACAGCTGGTCCTTTCAGGGAAGTCAAGGTAGCAGGGACTCGAAGCAACTAGTCATATTACATCCACAGTCGAGAGCAGAAAGCAGTGAATTAATGCTGCATGCTAATACTCAGCTTGCTTTATCCCCCGCCCCGGGAATGGTGCCACCCAAAGTAGGCACGTCTTCCCCCCCATTAATCAATGTAGCCAAGATAATCTCCTTCAGACATGCTCATGGGCAAACCTGATCTAGTCAGTCCCTCCTTGGGACTGCCTTCCCCTGGTGAATCTAGAATTATGTCAAATTGACAATTAAAACTGACCATCACACGGTATCAATGGAGTGCCGGTGAGAAACAACAGGACTTCACGTGGCCGGCGTCTCTGTGGGGTCAGTGAGTGCAGAAGATTGAGGTCACTGTGTGGTTGCACACCTGTGTGTGCAGCTCTTGGTGTGTGGATGCCTAAACCTGCAGGTCAGTGAGAAGGTCGGTGTACGAGCTTTGTGGGTACCCATGTTCATCAAGAGGGTTCTTATGGGGATCACACCATCAAGGAAGGCAGAAAAGTGGGGTTTTGTGTTACATCTAGCACCCTGTGGGAGCCGTGTCATAGATGATGACAGCTAAATATTTTACTGAGCAGAGTCAGCTCAGCCAGAGTCCCCGTGTGCAAACCCCTGTGCAGTCCACTCAGAGAAACAACAGCCAGAAGGAGTCTAGGTATCCTTCATAATGGGTGGGTTGCAATCTGCCATGCAAAGGGGCATCTGGGAGAAAGAGAAGGAATTCCCACCAGGAGGTTCAAGAAGAGTGTGTTTTGTGAGCAGGGACTTGAAGGCTAGAAGAATCTCCAAAGAAGTCAATGTGGAGGACCCGGAAGGAGGAGAGGACTATGTGAGCAAGGCTGGGGGCGGAGATGAGTAGAGAGTGTCCAGAAGTGGTGACTAGCTAGATGCAGAGCTACACGGTAGAGTCAGGAGGTAGAAAACAGTGCCAAAGGATCCGTTGGGACTGTGCCTGCCTCTGGAGACTTCGGGGATTTGATCCACAGGCAGGAAGGTGAGGCTATTCTAGTGGTCCAGGGATGAGTGGCTGTGACCCAAATGAAAGAATGGCCGGGGCAACAGTGGGGGCAATCATGGGACACCAGTCCATAGGCCATGGCCTGGTTCAGTTTTATCTACCTGTCTATGTATGAATGTATGAATGTATGAATGTATGTATGTATGTATGTATGTATGTATGTATGTATGTATGAATGTATGTATGTATGTATGTAGGCATCTATCTATTCATCTATCTATCCTCTATCTATCATCTATCTATTCGTCTACCTACCTATCTCTCTATCTCTGTCTATCTATCTGTCTATCTATCTATCTATCTATCTATCTATCTATCTATCTATATCTATCTATCCTCTATCTATTCATCTACCTACCTATCTCTCTATATCTATCTATCTATCTATCTATCATCTATTATCTATCTATTCATCTATCTATCATCTGTCTATCTATCATCTATCTATTATCTATCTATCTATCTATCTATCTATCTATCTATCTATTATCTACCTATCTATCTATCATCTATCTATCTATCTATCTATCTATCTATCTATCTATCTATCTATCTATTTGTCTGAGGTAGGGTCTCTCTACATAGCTGTAGAGAACTCACTCTGTAGACCAAGCTGGCCTCGAATTCACAGAGATTTTCCTGTCTCTACCTCCCAAGTGCTGGGATTAAAGGCATAAACCACCACACCCAGCTTAAAATGCCAGTTTTTTTTTTTTTAAAAAAAACTTATTTATTGTATTGCAGTTTTGCTGGCATATATCTGTGCATCACGTGCATGAGTTACAGGCAGTTGTGAGCTGCCATGTGGGTACTGGGAATCAAACCTGGGTCCTCTGGAAGAGCAGTCAGTGCTCTTAACCACTGAGCCACCTCTCCAGGCCCCCGTGGCCTGGTTTTAAAGGGCGATGCTGAGGTCTTGTTTCTGTGGAGAATAATAAAGGCAGAGGGTGGGAGAGGAAACACAAAAGGCAAGCATGCGAGGTAACCGGCCAGCTGTGGTAACAACTGCATTAAAGCCTAGGAGACGGGTCGGAGCAGAGGATTTAGACTTGACAGATGGGTGCTGGGAGACTGAAGTTGAAGTGACAGGGACAGACGGGTCACCTAAGGGGACAGGATCAGCAGAGGCCCAGGGAGGCCTCACTAAGAGAGGACAAGGAAGGCGTCTTCTTCTAGGCTGTGAGATCACGCAAGTCCGTGACGGCGTGGCTGGAGGATGTCCACCTTCGCCATCTGGGTCTTTCTAGGGTAAGCAGAGGCTCAAGGTGTGGAGACAGAACAGAGCTTACTTTCCAAGGGATGTGTAGGAGGCAGGAAGTAAGACATTAGAGAGACCTGGAGGGAAAACTGGATGGGGGGAGGGGTGCGGCTTGAGGAGCTGCGTGGTTTGTTTTACAGAAACCCCCACACACTTGGACCTGGTTGGAGTTTAAAGGGGAAGGTGTGGGTGGGTGTAGAGAGAGGAGAATGTTAGAAAGAGGAGGACGGTCAAAACAGCAAGTCTTCGGGAGAAATGGGAGGGAGGGAGGGAGGGAGGGAGGGAGCGAAAACAGAGTGAACTGTGCACGGGAGAGATGGAGCTCATCCTGGGGGGAGACAGGAAGAATGGTGGAAAGAGGGGTCCTGAGCTGGAGGCAGGATTCCTCACCCAGGAAGGAAAATCTTGTTAGCCCCGCCCAGTCCAGCTCTCCACTCTGTCTGTCTGTCTGTCTGGAGGATCTCTGGAGATGTACCCTCCACCTCAGTATACATATTTCAGCCAAGCTTTTCTTTCACAGGGTCAGATCCCATAGACACTTTCCCATCAGTTCTCAAAGACTCCATTCTTGGGACTTAATTCTCAAGGCTAGGCCAAGGACATGCTGTAACTACTCACAGGCGGAAAATGAGGAGCTCCGAAGAAGTCTCTAAATTGAGTTATTAAAAACCTCCAAGACGTGCTTTTTGTCATAATGTTTGAAAAATCTGAATCCTGCCCTAGATATTTGAAGCTGAATGTAACCAATGAGCCTATCTAGAAGGATAGGTGTGGAAAAAAACATGAATGAGGAGACCACATGATTGTGAGCATGTGTGCATGTGTTCATGCCCACATCTACCCACACGTGTGTGTCTTGTGATCTCTTTTACTATGGGTTTTATTTTATTTTATTTTTTTGGTTTTTTGAGACATAGTCTCTCTGTGTAGCTTTGCGCCTTTCCTGGAACTCACTCTGTAGACCAGGCTGGCCTCAAACTCACAGAGATCCTCCTGCCTCTGCCTCCCGAGTGCTGGGATTAAAGGCGTGCGCCACCACTGCCCGGCTACTATGGGTTCTATATCCTGAAACCCTTACCTGCTCTGAAGGCCCCACTTGTAACGTATTATCAAGTTTCCACCCTCTTCATACCTCATGGTGGGCACCAATCTCCGTAATGGCTTTTGAGAGGACAAACCATCTTCAAACCTTCACCATCACTAAGAAAAACCTGCACAAGGAGCAAAAGGAAATTACTCAAAGTAAATTAAACATCAGAGCACCAACCGTTCTCATAGAGGACCCAGGTTTGGTTCCCAGCACCCACGTCAAACTCTAGTCTTAGGGGATCCAACACTCTCTGGCCTCCAAAGACACCTGCACACACATCATATGCGTAAACTCATGTAGGCATGCACACACACATAAATAAAAGTAAGTAAATCTTTAAAAATCATCTTGGGTTTGATGAGATCATAGAATTATTTCCCTTTTTATTTTCCAACTTTTCTACAAGGATGTGTCCTTTTATCCTTTTGCTTTTAAAAGAATATTTATTTTTATGTGGTGCTTTACCTCCATGCATGTCTGTGTGAGGGTGCCAGATCCCCTAGAACTGGAGTTACAGACAGTTGTGAGCTGCCATGTGGGTCCTGGGAATTGAACCCAGGTCCTCTGGAAGAGCAGCCAGTGCTCTTAACCCCTAAGCCATCTCTCTAGCCCTCAATGCTTATTTTTGAGACAGAGCCTAGGCTGGCCTCTAACTCACTATGTAGCTGAGGATAACCTTGAACCCCTAATCCTCCTGCCTCTACCTGCTAACTACTAAGATGACAAGAAAACACCTCTCCCTGTGGCAGACTTCGATGGGCACTGGCATCATATCCAGACAGGCAGGGTAGTTATACATCATGCACTTATAGATTCTTACCCATATCTCTTGATAAGTGTGTCATATCCTGTTGGATATCACCGAGGAGTGAAATTGCTAGGTCATCGAGTATACATGCATTCATTTTCAGTAGCTGAGGCCAGCTCTTCTCCAGTGTGTCTGGCCAGGGCATATACTCAGTTTCTGTGGAGGAAAGCTCCCAACACCCCTACCCTCATCTACACTTGGCCGGTCCATACTCTCCCCCTTTGACCAGTGTGGAGTATTGCCTTTGAGTTGCAGAAACTGAAAAATAAAGAGCTTTCTCGAAGGGATCCATCTGAGTTATCAGTAGTGATTTGTCCATTGCCACCAGCATAAGCCCAGAATGTTTGCAGAAGGCTAAAAGGCTGGCTGACAAGTTCGCAGGGCTCTGGGTACCCTTGTATGCCTAAAGCATAGCCTCTCTGATGCACCTGTGTTCACTGACATGCTCTCCAGGCACACTAGAGGCATTGAGAAGAAGGGCAATATTTTCCCCTCGAAAAACCAAAAAAAAAAAAACCTTGGGAATAAGGTGATCCTCTTCCTACTGTTTCCTCTACCTACCCCCACACAAGCCTCGGTCACCCTGGTACCCGAGGAATGCTCTTGTTTATGTCTCTTGCAGGGACCGGGACCTGATCAGCAAGTGCGGGGATGATGCACGCATCTACATCATGTTCCAGTATCACCTCATCATTTATGTGCTCATCCTCTGCATCCCCTCCCTGGGCATCATTTTGCCTGTTAACTACATTGGAACTGTTCTGGGTAGGCAGCGCTCAGTGGGCTGTTGGCCCTGAGCCATTGGCAGCTTAATAGGTTGGATAAGCCTTGGGCCTTGGGGGTCTAGAAATCTGGCTTTTAGTCCTTTCTCTGGAAGGCAGTTGTCATGTGTCCTTAGGCACACTGTATTGCACTTCCCTCATGTACGGACTGGAGATTATACAGCCTTGATTGATCCAGGGCCTGGAACAGGACAAGCTCATAGTTCATTCCGGAACTGTCTATCAATGTCCCTGTGCAGTTGGAGGTTGTGTGGCTTACTGGAGAGGCTTCTGGCCCCTACTTCTCCTGACATGTGCCCTGATGGACACAGCTCTGTTCATGCAGAATTTTTCCGGTAGGACTTCTGCCCACACTCATTGTAACAGGACAGTGTTGTGAGTGAGAGCTTGGCTCCTAAGACAGAAAGATCCTGGCTCTACAGCCTTTGTCCACATTGACTTAAATGCCTTCTCTCAAGCTAACCAAGTGTTTTACGATCTGAATCTGTCCCCTCTACTGTTTAGACACAGGGAGAGACATAGGTCAAGTACCTGGTTCTCTGTAGGAACTCAGGGAACAGTAACTGTGTCTTCCTTAGGACTGTGGAAGGGACGGAGCTGTGGGAAGACTGGTATCCAGTGGTTCCTTCGATGTCCAGTTAGCAGCCAGTTTTACCTCACTCCTTGGGTTTTCCCTGTTACTCTCAGCCAGACGTAGGCCCGAATGAATCCGAGGTAGCATATTGAGCATGCACCAGAGGGAGTGTGCCTGACATTCCAGATTTTCATCCCGAGCGCTAGCATGTGGTGATGATAATGCAGGGGTCTTAGAGGTTCTATGAAGCCTGGAGCTGCCTGAACAGACAGATTAATTCACGTGGCCAGAAGGAGCTACTTGGTTCCAATAAGACAGTGTCCCATTTTATGGAGTTTAGGGTTTTTTTAGGATTGTGGCCAGCACTGCAAATGTCATCGGTCTGATGAAGGCTAGACAGCCATCTGGTTCCCTCAAAGCTAGTTTGCAGGGCATCTGTTACATGCCAGTCATGCTCTGGGAATTCCCCAGAGACACTTGGTCTCACAGATTAGAGCCCAGGTCAGCACCAACCAGAAGTTGGGGACAGACCTGGGGATCAGAAGGAAAAGCAGATGTAGTCGAGGATCTCTAGATCCTTGGCATTTGTTCGGGAACCTTGAATTCTATCCCCACCATTGCCCCCAGCAGTGTGGAGGCCAGGATTGAGGTTGGCCCTTTCTTCTCTCTTTCAGAATGGAATAGTCACTTTGGCCGGACCACCATTGTTAATGTCTCCACAGAGTAGGTACCTCATCTTCACTCCCGTTCTACTGATTGCTGGTGGGGAAAGACAGGCTAGTGTGTTGGTACCCAACATGGGCAGCTCTGTGCTGACGAGGCAGGCCTGGTTTCTTTGGTTTGGAATCTAGGTCCCGAGTGGGGTGCCAGATGTTGCATTTTTCTGGTGGGACAGAATTTTTTTTTTTTTTTTTTTTTTTTTTTTTTGCCAAATGCCATTTATTGAAGGGGGGAGGAGGTCTTAAATACAGGTTTACAGCACAATGGGAGAACCCCAGAGGGCAGAAGTTCGCTACGGATGTCTTACAATCTTGCATCTAAGCTGTTAACACCCATTATGCAGGATACACAGACAAGGAACTTCCCTTAAGCATTCAGGAGGGTGGAACTCGGCAGGGAATTAGCATAGGGAGGATATCAAGATCAAGGTCAGCAAGCAAGGCAACAGTTACCCAAAACGGGGGCCAGGACCCTACAGGTCCCCCTTTTACTAGAAAACGAGCTTCTGACTTAGGTTGCATGGGACGTCAGCAGGTCACCTTACTGGTCATGGAGACGCTTGCCCAGGCCACACAGGTGCTCTGGGACAGAACTACCCACACTGAGGAATGGTCCTATTGTGGAGTGTGTTAGTTAGGGTTACTATTGCTGTGAGGAAACACCATGACCAAAAAAGCAAGCTGGGGAGGGTTTATTTGGCTTACACTTCCACATTGCAGTCTTATCGCTGAAGGAAGTCAGGGCAGGAACTCAAGCAGGGCAGGAACCTGGGTGGAGGAGCTGATGCAGAGGCCATGGAGGGGTACTGCCTACTGGCTTGCTCATCATGGCCTGCCCAGCCTGCTTTCTTATAGAACCCAGGACCACAAGCCCAGGGATGGCACCACCCACAGTGAGATAGGCCCTCCCTAAAGGCCCTCCCATTAATCATTAATTAAGAAAATGCCCTACAACTGGAACTTATGGAGCCATTTTCTCAATTGATGCTCCCTCCTCTCTGATGGCTCTACCTTGTGTCAAGTTGACATAACATTATCCAGCACACTTAGTGTATCTGCCCCTGAGAAGACCCTGTAGCAGGGCGGGAGTAGGGTATAAGATACAGTATCCTTGACAACCCCAGGTTCAAGTCAGCCCTCAGATAATTGAGTGACTCACTGGCCCACCAGTCTGCCCTTCTGATGTCCACAACAGGAGAATCAGATGATGGGTTCAGGCGTCGCTGCTGCCACCTACTGGCTCTGTGTCTGGGAAACTCTTGCTCCAGATTCAGTCCTTAAGCATGGGAAATATCTTAGAGGATGTGATGCTTTCCTCTGAGTTCCTTCCTATTCTTAGGCCAGGAACCAGCCAACCTGATGGGTAGCCACATCAAACCTGAACTGAGCCGGATGCGGCCCTGCTTGCCTATGCTAAGGCTCACTAGATGGCTTGGCCAACTTCCTGACTAAACTGCAGAAGCAGTTCCCATCCCACCCCATCCCTACCTGCTTCACACCTCTACCCCCCTGCCATGGGCCTCAGAGCAGACTAGCATTGCTGGAGCTCTCTGATCTGCAGAATACAGCTGTGGCATCCTCTCCTCTCCTCCACCAGCCAGCTTTGCCCACCCCAGGGTCGCCTGCTGGAGCAGAACCACCAGCACTTCCCAAGCCAGTCATTCTGAGGTGCCTCATGTCCCGCCCCAAGAAGTGGAATCCCACAGAGCAGCAGGGGGCCTTTGGTGTGTAAGACTCCACACCGCACAGTTCTTTAAAGAACACGCCCTTGCCCCAATGTAGAATCTGAGTGACTAGGCATGTATTCAGGTAGGCAGAGGCCTGTGGCAGGTCAGGCGCTGAGCCAGAAGGAGTAGACCCGGCTTGCTCTCCTTGAGCCATGCCACTCAGGCTTCCAAACAGTAACTCTGAGCAGATGCCTCTGATCAGGGGGGCAGGGGGAGGAAGAGCAGAGCCCCGTGGCCACCAGCCCTCCACTCCAGGGAAATGGGATCGCTTAGCCTTCCTCTCCCTGCATATGACCCAGTACCTCCTCCCTCAGCCTACTGGGCATCTGTGAGGCGAGGGTTGGGTGTCCACGTACATGGGCTGCTAGGGCTACTCTCTCAGGCAGGTTAGCCACAGCTCTAGCCCTCCTTTCCCTAGGGGTGAAATGGGAGGGATGGTCAGGGAGCCACCCTGAGGGTCTGGTGAGAAGATGCAAATAAAGGGCTGGATCTGGTTCACTGGAAGTCCTGTTGTGATGGGAGTGAGTCTGGGGACACTGTAGTGGAGGGAGGGATGTCTGGGGACACTGTAGTGGAGGGAGGGATGTCTGGGGACACTGTAGTGGAGGGAGGGATGTCTGGGGACACTGTAGTGGTGGTGGGGATGTCTGGGGACCCTATAGTGGAGGGAGGGATGTCTGGGGACACTGTAGTGGAGGGAGGGATGTCTGGGGACACTGTAGTGGTGGGGGGGATGTCTGGGGACACTGTAGTGGAGGGAGGGATGTCTGGGGACACTGTAGTGGAGGGAGGGATGTCTGGGGACACTGTAGTGGAGGGAGGGATGTCTGGGGACCCTACAGTGGTGGGGGGATGTCTGGGGACCCTATAGTGGAGGGAGGGATGTCTGGGGACACTATAGTGGAGGGAGGGATGTCTGGGGACCCTATAGTGGTAGGAGGGATGTCTGGGGACACTGTAGTGGAGGGAGGGATGTCTGGGGACACTGTAGTGGAGGGAGGGATGTCTGAGGACACTGTTGTGGAGGGGGGGATGTCTGGGGACACTGTAGTGGAGGGAGGGATGTTCGGGGACACTGTAGTGGTGGTGGGGATGTCTGGGGATACTGATGGTGTGGTGGGGGTATAACAACTCTGTGGGGCTCCAGAGGCCTGCAGCACACCTGAGTCTTGTGCTCCACTCCTCCTCCACCCCACCCCCGCCCCGGCAGGAGTAAGCTGCTGTGGCTGCATGGTCTCTTCGCTCTCATGTACTTCCTCATCAACTTCGCCCTCATGGGCCATCACTGTTTGGGATTTGTGCCCAAGAAGAACCTCAAGGTGAGTGTGTGAAGGATCCTCTCCCCAGCTTCACAAAAGTGGCGTCTTGGCTCTCCCTGAGGGGTTGGGGGTAGTCTCCCTCCAGCAGGAGCAAGCCCTTGTTTGCCCTACCCCTGCATGCCCTTCCCTCCACTCCCCCTGCCCTAGTTCATCCCAGTTGCTAAGCCATGAAAGCCCCTCACACAGGATGGCAAGTAACTGCTCAAGGTTGCCTCCTGTCTTCTGCCCCTGCTGCCCTAGGAACTCTGGGAGCTGGGTTAGAATGTATGTTCTAGAATTTTCCCACCCTTGTCCAACTCCCTGGCTGAGGGCTGCCCTTCGGGACTTCATCTCTCTTTTTTTTATTTTAGTATTCTTTAAGTGTGTGTGTGTTGTGTGTGTGTGTGTGTGTGTGTGTGTGTGTGTGTGTGTGTGTGTGTGTGTGCATGCTCATGTGTATGTATACTCATTCACATGGAGTCCAGAACAGAACATCGGGTGTCCTACTCTGTCACTCTCCACCTTTTTCTCTAGGGACAAGGTCTCTCCTTGAACCTAGATCGAGATTAGCTGCCAGCAAGCCCCAATGATCCTCCTGTCTCTGACTCCCCCAGTGCTGAGGTTCCGGGCAGGCTTGGCCACCTCTGGCTTTTTACGTGGATGCTAGGAACTCGAACTCAGGCCCTCAGGCTCGGGCAGCATGTGTTCATAGCCCGCTGAGCCTGTCTCCCCAGCCCAAGGCTTCATCTCTTGACCTACACATACCTTCAAGGTCAAGAAAGATGACTCAGGCCATCTCAGTGTTGAAATAGGCCACAGACTCTGCTGTGCAGGCCACAGGTGGGCAGCTACTTCAGCCAGGACCTAGAAAAGGGTCTGGCCTTTGGGTTATCTGTGCTCTGTGGGGAAAAGCACCATGGGAATGAGCATCCATGGCTTCATCGTTAGCCTGTCATCGTTCAGTAGAGCAGGATCTACTCCTTTGAGCCTACCTGTTCTAGGACAGATTCACCTTAGCCTACCCCAGAGTGTAGATCCACACACCCAAAGCCACCCCAAGCACCTCAGCCAGCCAGGAACAGGGGCTGGGACACCCAGCTGCTTTAGCTTTGCTCGTGGTTAGCAGATGCTGAGGCTGAGGTACTCACCCCTTGTGGTAGTCACCGTCAGACTGCCATCTGCAAAGGGATGGATCGGGAAGACGTTATCCACCCGTGGAGTAAAATAGGAAGTCTGGGCAGGACACCCCAGTTCCTCCTTGATCTTGCTGTGTTAGCCAACGTTCCGTTACTGTAACAATGTTCCTGAGGGAATCAGCCTACAAAGAGGGAAGGTTGGCTTTGCCTCACAGTTTTGGTTTTATTCCATACTCAGTAGGCTCCGTTGCTTTGGGGTGTGCGGTGAGACAGTGTGTGTGTCATGGTAGGGGCAGGTGGAAGAAGGTTACTCACCTCATGGTGTCAGGGAAACAGAGAGAGAGAGAGAGAGAGAGAGAGAGAGAGAGAGAGAGAGAGAGAGAGAGAGAGAGAGAGAGAGAGGAGGGGTTGACACCCCACAGCACCCTGTGAGGACACACCACGCGCTGTCTAAGACTGCTCACTCTTCTCTCAGTCTTCATCGTTTTTCCGTGGCTCTAGGTGTTCAACACTTGGGCCTTTAGGAAGCATCCCAGACTGAGACCATCGTGCTTGCTCCCAGCTCCAGGCCCCTAGAGTCCTAGGGATTTCTCCAGCAACGTGAGGGTTTACACTAGAAATACAGGCAATTCAGTGAGACCGAAAGTTCACCGTGCGGTTTCCCCCAGCTGCAAGCGGGCACAAATGACCTTTTTTAGTCGGGGAGATGTGGTCCTTCACCTTGGCCCTGGTTCTCCTTTCTTGACCTTGGCTGTCTGGGAAGGGCTCCCAGCTGGAACACAGAGCCTAACCAAGGCCTGGTGTGTGATTTTGGGACCACGGATGCTGGCCAGCAGCTTGCTTAGCAGGGAGGCTCTAAGAAGCAGGCAGCCTGGTGGGAGCAGAAGGCTGGCTCTCCTGGGGCTCTTGGCCCCGAAGGACCCGTATACCTAGCATTTCTGCAGAAACACAGCCTCCTCTCCCCCAACCCCAGATCACGAGGACACTGATGATCACCTATGTGCCCACGGATATCCAGGATCCAGAGATCATCAGCAAGCACTTCCAGTAAGTGGGAAGGCGGGCTGTGTCGAACGGACATCGTCTCCTCCTAGTACCTCCCTCTGGGTTCTCATATGAATGTGAGGTGGTGCAAAATGCTAGGGCTAGAGACATTCCTGGTGGTGGTCTTCTCTGGACTCAGCTCAGGATCGTCTTTCCGGACTGGAGAGGACCACCAAGGCTGCAGCAGAGTTCCGGAGGCTCTTGGATGGCTTAGGCGAGAAGCCAAAGGGCCGCTTGACTGTTTCTTGTGGCTTCAGCTTCTCAGTCCAGGGAGACCCTGCTTCTCAACCATCTTAGGCACGGTGTCTCCAGACCTCTTTGGTGTCCCCAGGGCCCTGGACCCAGAGATGCTGCTCCTTATCTGTTAAAACTAGCCCCCCCCCCGACCCCACCTGGTGTTTGGAGCATGCCCATGCCCTGTTCTGAATCATCGATAAGGGATGCTATGAGTCTCAGATGACTAGGGTCTAAACCCCAAAGATAGCTCAGCCTTAGGGGCAAGGTTGGATGTCATTCCGAGAGGCAGGAACCCCAGGCAGGAGAGCCTCCCACCCCTGTGGACGGTGACACTAAGTAGGGAGTGAGGTTACTCAACCCAGCTCCCCCAGGCTGATTCAGCATCCATGTTTGTGACTGCAGTGAGGCCTATCCTGGGTGTATGGTGACCAGAGTCCATTTCTGCTATGATGTCAGGAACTTGATTGACTTGGATGATCAAAGGTAAGATCGCAAGCCCACAGAGGGGCCTGCTGACATCTGGGGTGGGGTGCGAGGTAAGGATGGCGCTTCCTCTGTTGGTCGCTGACCAGAGAACTTTCCCTCCATTGCCCACCACTGCCAGACGCCACGCCATGCGGGGCAGGCTGTACTACACGGCCAAGGCTAAGAAGACCGGGAAGGTGATGATCAAGATTCATCCCTGCTCCCGTCTGTGTTTCTGCAAGTGCTGGACCTGCTTCAAGGAGGTAACTGACCGGGGTGTTGGGAACATCACGGAGAGGGTGGGGAGCTGGGCTCCAGGCTGGTCTCTTGCCTAAGTCCTCCTGTCCAGAGCCCATTCAGGTCTAGCCTAGTTAGTGGTCCAGAACCTGGCTCCCTCTCACCTAAACTCTTTATCCTTGCAGATGTAAAGAGGAGCTAAAGCCTTTCTTGGGTTCCCTTCCAGGACAACCATGGAGGCTTATTCTTGCCTGCCTTCTGTTGGTCCTAGACAGATAGACCAGCGGGAACATGGCAGCCTGTAATAAGTGACCAGGCCTTAGGCTTCCAAAGCCAGAAGGGAAGAAACAGTTGAAGAAACAGAATCCACTTTGTCCCCTGACTACTATGGCTAGAGGGGTCTCGGGCACTTGGATTCCTGTTTCAGTCAGGCCAAAAGGAGAAAGTCCAACCCCTGATACAACCGCGTGTTCTTTTGTCTTTCTGAAGTTCATCCGGGTCTGAAGCATCCACTAACACACTGTGCCCCCGTGTCCCCAGATCTAAGGGCAAGGGGGGAACTGAAGAGTCAGCATGTAGCTGTTCCATGGGTGAAGGGCTGCTGCATGGGAGAGCCCTGGGGCTGAGCCGGGCCTCCTCGGTCCTGGCTTCTCCAGCTCTGAGGGCCTCCTCTTGCCCCAGGTAGATGCGGAGCAGTATTACAGTGAGCTGGAGGAGCAGCTGACCGACGAGTTCAATGCGGAACTCAATCGTGTCCGGCTGAAGCGGCTTGACCTGATCTTCGTCACCTTCCAGGATGCCAGGACAGTCAGACGGTGGGTGCTGGATGTCATGAGTCTCTGTTGAACAGAGTTCAAACTCGGATAGTGTGGATGACACAAGAGGCAGGGATCCCAGGCAGCTTGGAGCCTCCCAACCCTGTGGGCTCTACTTCTCAGACCCCACTCTCTTATCCCCACCCAGCTTAAGGGACAGGAGATCGAGCCTCCCCTCGACTGCTGTGTCCGCCTCTGGCTCCTCTCTCTGCTCCTTGCTGGGAGCTGCTGTGTTGCTGTCCCTAGCATGGCCGTACCATTTCTCTGGTGGGCCTCAACTGCTCTCCAGGGATGCTCCCCACCATCAGCATAGACTGTGATCTCTTGCCAAGAATGATGGCCATTTCTCCCCATCCCATGTGCATCACCATCTCCTACTACAAGTAAGAAAGTCAAGAGAGAGAAGACCATTTTGGCCTTCCTTCCTTTCCGCTGTAGGCTCACCCAGAGGCCCCCCCTCTTCCTTCTGTCCCAGGCTTTAATAATCTCATCTCAACAAGGAACTAATCCCAGTCAATTTAGAATGTTCTAGAAGGATTTTGAGTACCAAACCAAATGTATGGGGACTCTAGAACTGGTCTCAAAAGGATTGTGGGGCCCTCTTCTCTCCCGTGGGAACCTTATAATGCATGGGTACTATGTAGAGTGAATTCTTCCACTCAACCCTGCAAAGGAGTAGACAGCCTAGATTTTAGTCACAAACAATGGTGCATGATTTTCTAAGTCACTTAAACCCTCAGACTTCTTTTCTAAAAGATTTCATTTTATATTGTGTGGATATGGTTGTTCAGCCTTACGTGCACGTCTGTGCACCAGTTGCATGCCTGGGCTCGAGGAGACCAGCAGAGGGCGTCGGATCTTCTGAGCCTGGAGTTGCTGAGGGTTGTGAGCTGCCATGTGGGTGCTGGGAATTGAACCTGGGTCTTCTGGAAGAGCAGCCAGTGCTCTTAATCATTGGGCCATCTCTCTGTCCCCTCAAACAACAACAACAACAACAGTTTCTTCTTTTTTCTTCCTCTTTCTCTTCCTCTTCCTCCTCCTCCTCCTCCTCTTCTTCTTCTTCATCTCCTTCCTCCTTTTCCTTCTCTCTCCTGTCCTTCCTCCCCCTCCTCCTCCCTCTCCTACCCCTCCTCCTCCCTTCTCCTCCCTCTCCTCTCCCTCCTCCTCCCTCCTCCATCCTCCCTCCTCCCTCTCCTCCCCCTCCCCCTCCTCCCTCTCCTCCCTCTCCTCCCCCTCCTCCCCCTCCTCCCTCTCCTCCCCCCCTCCTCCCCCTCCTCCCCCTCCTCCCCCTCCTCCCCCTCCTCCCCCTCCTCCCCCTCCTCCCTCTCCTTCCCCTCCTTCTCCCTCCCTCCTCCCCCTCCCCCTCCTCCCCCTCCTCCCCCTCCTCCCCCTCCTCCCCCTCCTCCCTCCCCTCCCCCTCTGTTTCCCTTCCCTCCTGCCTTTCTTTTTCCTTTTCTTTTTTGTTGTTTTGGTTCTTTGAGACAAAGTTTCTCTGTGTAGCCCAAAACTCCCTCTGTAGATGAGGCTGGCCTCAAACTCAGGGAATCTCCTTGTCTCTGCCTCCTGAGTGCTAGGATTAAAAGTACCACCACGCCCGGCTCCTCAAACTTCTTCTATGTCCAGTTTGGTCACTGATTTCTGCTCTATTCACTCCTCAATGAGTTGGCAAGAGACATATAGATTCTATATTATTATTATTATTATTATTATTTGTGGGTATCTGTGTTTGTGTTTTGTATAAAGCAATACCCCTAGGCAAGACAAGAGTGTTCATTTCTTAAAGCATCACCCACTGGCAGAGATCTCAGCCTTCATTACAGCAGGATGTGTCAGAAGGTCCGAGACTGGGCTCTAGCACCAGCATGTACCCTCTCCAGTTACATCTCAATTTAGGAATCTGTGCAACTAAGATTCTGTTCCTCACTGGCAAGCATAGATCCGGGGCCACAGGAAGAACTCTGGAACCTAGGGTTACTGATGCTGACCTGAGCTGAAGCTCATCTGTATACGGTTACTGCTGCTAATGGAGGGCAGCAGCTGAGGACCCTGAAGCCTGCTCCTTGTCCTGGCCAGTCTGGACGCCTCCAATACCCTTCTCCCCCCTAACTACTGTGCTTTAGGAGCTGTCCATTTCTAAGGTCCTGGGAGACTCAATGAAGGCTTTGAGAATCCCCAAGCGGTGGGGTAACCCCACTGGTGGGACTGTCATGCCGACTCTAGGACCCCGGTATACGATTCTCTGAAGCATTCCTTCCCTTAGCCTAGACCTATGTCTCCTCTTGGTTCCATCTCTGCAGCATCTGTGAGGATTACAAGTACATCCAGTGTGGCATGAACCCCAAGCAGTCCTCAGTAACGACCATCGTCAAAAACTACCACTGGAGGGTCGCTCATGCCCCTCACCCCAAAGACATCATCTGGTAAGTCTTCTCTGCGTCTCTTTCTCTGTCTCTGAGATTGAAGAAGGCTACAGGACAGGGCCTATTCTCTCTACTTTATTGTCCAACGGAGAGTCCATGGGGACTAGACTCAGAACTATCCAAACCCAGTTCCTGCTGGACTCCGCCATGTGCTTTCTTGAGTATCACAGCCCCTGCCTAGCACATGCCCACCTTTACCATATGCATGGAAGGGGCCAACTTTGGGGAAAGTTTTCGCTGTAGCCTCTCATTAACCCTTTGAGACATAGTCTGGGTCTTTCCAAATGGTGTCCCTAAGGAGAAATCCCAGTGACCACTGCTCCTAGGACCAGGCCCACAGCTGGCATGCAGAAAAAAGTATTGCTCTCTCTCTCTCTCTTTCTCTCTCTCTCTCTCACTGTGGACTGAGACCTTGGCCTAACTGTGCTCTTCTCCTTGCCCCCTTCCCAGGAAACACCTGTCCATCCGCCGGTTCAGTTGGTGGGCTCGTTTTATCTCAATCAACACCTTCCTGTTCTTCCTCTTCTTCTTCCTCACCACGCCCGCCATCATCATCAACACCATCGACATGTACAACGTCACCCGCCCCATCGAGAACTTGCAGGTGCCTTCTCTGCTCAGGCCAGGCCTGGGGGCTCCCTGGGACAGGGTTCCCAAACTTTTCCAGCAACGGCATGGTGGAGGTCAAGTGGTGGCATAGGCCCTGAGTTCTAAATAGGATGGATGTGGGCCGTTGCCCCTCTCGGGAGGTTAGAGGAGCTGTAGGTAGGTCCTGGGGTGAGTCAGAGGATGGGTGGTCCAGTGAATGCGAGCATAGAGGGTACTGATAGATCAGGCCACTCTAAGCCACGTGGGGGTCTGGACGGTACAGCAGGCATTAGCATCTCTGTTCTCACTGGGCTTCCTTGGCTCCTGGTAAGAGTAGAGGGTAAGAAAGCATTGCGTCTGCTTCCTTCCTTCCCGGTGCCTGTAGCCTTGGCCCTGTCAAAGCGCTTCCTTAGGTTAGAGGATGCCTTCCACTTAGAACACTGGCCTAGTTCTTCAAATCCTGTGCCCTTCATGCTGTTCGAATGAGCCAGAAAACTTCTGCACCCATAGCATCCCTTCTCTATTCCCAGTGAAACACACCCCCACTCACCCCCTGACACCACCCCCACCCTGTGTACACGTACACACACACACACACACACACACACACACACACACACACACACACACACAGACGCACATATGCACACAAACACACAGAGACACATGTACAGACACTCACATGCGCACAAATACACAGACATATACAGGAACATAGACACACACACTCATATCCGCACACATGTATGGCCATACCACTTTTGCGTCTGTCTCAAATCTGTAAGAGGCCCAGGCCGTATGCATGCTGGATACCTCTCTGCTCTCCTGGACATTCCTCCTTCCTGACCCTTCCCATGCTGTCCCCACACTCACACGTCATAGTTCATGCAGTGCTATCCCTGAGTCACATGAGTCACAGCAGCTGGCCCTGGCTGTAGGGTAAAGCCACTAAAGAAACCTCAGGCTGCCTTTCCCATGACCCGAGCGTCGAAGCCCCTTGTGGATCCACTTGACCTTGAGGTGTGAGCCTCTGCCTCCTCCAGCTAGGTGAACTTCTGGCCAGGAAGACACTTAAGGAAGGTCAGACTTATTCTGTAGCCTCAGGTAAAACGAGCTTTTTCTTGATGGGACTGAAGGTGCAGGGGCATGGTTAAGGGAGAACCAGGGCAGCCTGCCAGGGGGAGGGCTTCTTGTACTGATGCCTCTCTTGCCCGCCCCTGCTTCCCCTGCAGAGCCCAGTTGTGACCCAGTTCTTCCCCTCTGTACTGCTCTGGGCCTTCACGGTGATACTGCCTCTGGTGGTCTACTTCTCTGCCTTCCTAGAGGCCCACTGGACCAGGTGAGCTGGGGGCTCCTTCCCTTCCTACATGGCTCATGCCCCCGGCCTTTTCCTCTTTCCTGTCTGCCTGGCACTGGGGCCTTCCATCTATCCTAAAGGATGAAAACTGATGAGTGATGGCTTTGGTGTTTAAAACCATCTCGAATGACCAGAGGTCCTGGCTGTCTCCTGGCCTCTGGCCTTGGATGTATTGATTAAGGATTGCTATCTAAGGCGAGGGAGGCCTAAACCAAGCCCGGCTGAGGCGGCCCTCTCTGCCCCCAACCTACCCGGAGGGGACAGAGCTGTTAGGCACTGTTGTTAGGCCAATGCTGGCGATTCAGAGGGTTCACATGCAGAGCCTCAGGCAAGCAGCCAAGGAGTCCAGGCACTAAATGACATCGGGCACAGTTGGCTCAGACAGAACCAATGTTTCCAAATTCAAGAGATTTTTCTACTTATTAATGCTAATACTTCCATGGTGGTAGGTAACTGGGTAGATTATATTAGCCGTATGCTGAGTAAAGGACCTACCTTTGGCCTAATGTCTGCAATGGATCTCAAAAGTGATTTTCTACATGCAAAATTCCTGCCACTCTACCAGGTGGTAAAACATGGGGTTACCTAATAGAAATCCTTACTAGTCTGTCCTATAGTCAAGGACAAGGCTCACATAAATTGCTAAAATTCTCCAAAGATTTGTGTATCATTGGTCATGTGTCTTTGGTACAGAGATGTCAAATATATGGCATGCCCTTTGTCTCCTTCCTGTGCCCAGGACAGACATGACTGGTTGATCATACTGTCCATTCTTGCTGTTTCCAGATACAGTACAGCTCACAGTGCTCTGTGAAAAGCGCGTTGGGCTGTCCAGTCAGTTGCCTTTCCTCTCCCTCTCCGACTCACTGTCTTATGTAGTTAGATCTTGGATTCTTTTGTTTGTCTGCTTTGTGTGGTTTTGTTGAGAGTGCGGTCTGTCTACATAGATAGACCAGGCTGTCCTGGAACTTGCTCTGTATGTAGACCAGGCTGGCCTTGAACTCTGAGAGATCCATCTGTCTCTGCTTCCCAGTGCTAGGATTAAAGACGTGCGCCACCATGCCTGGCTCAGATCTTTGGTTATTATTCTGTCTCTCACACTGATAAATGTTTCTCTTTATTTCCTTGTAGGTCAAGTCAGAATATCATCATAGTGCACAAATGCTACATCTTTCTGGTGTTTATGGTGGTCATTCTGCCCTCCATGGGGCTGACCAGGTACCTCGCTCTCAATTATCCCCCCTGTCTCAGCCAGGCTCAGCCTAGAGTTGAAACGTCCTTTCAGATACTGTAGGCCTCCCCTGGTTGCTGCAAGTCTCCTCCAATGACAGTCCCACGCCCGTCACAGGCATAGACAGCTTGAGGCAGGTATCATGCAAACTGTGAAGTGCCAGCCCTGAACTCTGCCTCAGTTCAGAAGACAAGGCGTCCCTGCCTGGGGGGTGACAGCCAGAGGGGGGAGAATGTAGCCAACAAAAATGGGAAGTTGAAGAGAAAGAGAGAGAGAGAGAGAGAGAGAGAGAGAGAGAGAGAGAGAGAGAGAGAGAGCGAGCGCTTGGAGAGTTGGCAAAGATCTATTGCAGAAGGTGTCCTTGAGCTGGAAGGCCCACAGCAAGCGACACAGATGACCCGGTGTTAAAAAGGAAGAAGGCAGGATGATTGGCCAGCGAGCACCAAGCCAGGGACTCAGGGCATTGGCGCGGGAGAATGGAAAGCAGAAAGTCGGGCAGAGGAATCGAGCCCTAGGCTGTAGCACATGAACACTGTCACTGAAGATCTGGTTTCGTTTTTTGCTCTAGTTTGAATGTGTTTTTGCGCTGGCTCTTTGACATCTACTATCTTGAACATGCGACCATCAGGTTCCAGTGAGTATCCTTGGGTGTACACGGCGTTTTCTGTGTGTCTGCACTGAGGTGGATATGTGTACCCTTCCCTCGTCCATCCCTGCATCACTGGTACCCAGGAGTAGATAGATGCAGGTGGAACCATCTCCAGAAGCCTGGCCTGTGCTGTGGTCCCCTCTGGCAATCTGGTAAAGCCTAGGGACCTCTCCTTGAAATCATTGGAGTTTCACAAGAAGCTAACACAAAAGTGTGCTATATAGGTCTCCATATAGTTTTCCTCACTGATAACATTTTGCATGAATATAGTGTACTGTAAGACCCAGGAACCTCCTATTGGTACAGTCCACAAAGCTGATCAAGTTGTCTCCAGTTTTCACCCACTTTGGGCAGTGTGTGTAAGTGTGTAAAATACATGGATTGCACTGTTATCAGAGGCAAGGGAGATTGCTCAATGGTTAAGAGTGTATACTGTTTTGGCAGAGACAAGAGTTCGATTCCCAGAACCCTCGAGGTGACTCAAAATTGCTTGTAATCCCAACTCCAGGGAGTCCAGTGCCCCTTTCTGACCTCCTTGAGCACTGTCCTTTCCTGCACAAACCCACACTCAGGCACACGCATATACCCACCATTTCAATATAAGATAAAATAAATATAGTTATCAAAATGTTGTTACAGTTTTGTGGCTGTCTTCATTAACCTGTCAATAAGATACTACATTTAAAATAAAAGCAATGTAAAGTTACATTTTTTTTGTTTATTTACAGACATCAGTGTGAGGGCTGATTAATTCCTGGAATAAGAAAATTAAAACTGGGGAGGCAGGATCTATGATAACATGTGCATTATGTTGAAAATCTGGTCTATTGTGGATTTTTTTTTCCACGGTTACAGTATTTGAAAACCCCAGTTTTCAAAGACACAATGCAAATGACCTTCACCTTCCACAGCTTGCTCGTTGAGGCAAGGACCAGAATCCTCTAAGTTTTTCACAGTTGAACTGACACTGTTAATCATAGAAAGTCATCTTTTTTAAGGTGAATGGGTTAATCTTTGGCTAGGAGTATATCTTCAATACACTTCGCTTACGATAAAGCAAAGCTCGTGTGAGTTGACTACAACGTTGTGAAGCGTGGATATGATTAGTGTTTTCTACTCACTCAACAGTGTTGGATTCTACTCAGCTCAAAATTCTCCTGCCTCAGCTTCCTGTGGGAATCACATCCAGGGTCTTGAACTTGCTAGGCAGGTGTTCTACCACTAAGCTCGCTTCAGCCCTTAAGAAAGCTTTGGAAGGAGTTCTGAAATGTGGCCAGAGGTTCACCGTTCTCTGTTCAAGAGCATTAACATGGTTGTGGAGATGGGGACACTGAGAAATGTCAGACATGCTTAGGTCTCCCTTTTAAAAAAGTGTGTGTGTGTGTGTGTGTGTGTGTGTGTGTGTGTGTGTGTGTGTGTGTGTGGGTGTGTGTGTGTGTGTGTGTGTGTGTGTGTGTGTGTGTGTCAGGGTGTGTGTGTGTGTGTGTGTGTGTGTGTGCGCGCATGTGCACACTCGTGCACGCGTGTAAAGGCCAGAGTCAACCTTGGATGTCACTCCCTCCCCTGGAGCTGTCAACTTTTTTTTTTTTTCATGTCAGGGTCTCTCCCTGGGACCTGGAGGTCACTGATTGGGTCGACTGGCTAGGGAGCTGGGATTGCAAGGCATGTCCCACACCTGTCCATTTGTTTGGTCAGTGCTAGACATCAAATCGGATGGTTGTGTTTGCCCAGAAAACACTCTGTTGATTGGCCATCTTCCCTATTCTCTATTTCAATGTAATTGTGTTCTTTGCAACGCTCATGTTTTGTGCACTAAAGGCATTCAGAGAAGCAGCAGCTGAGTGACCGCCATTGGAAGCTGGCTAGCCATGCCATCCCCTTCAGGCTTTCAGGTTTTTTGTTTGTTTTTGTTTTGTTCTCCGAGACAGGGTTTCTCTGTGTAGCCCTGGCTGTCCTGGAACTCACTCTGTAGACCAGGCCGGCCTCAATCTCAGAGATCTGCCTGCCTCTGCCTCCTGAGTTCTGGGACTAAAGGTGTGCGCCACCACCGCCTGGCTCAAGTCCATGTCAATGGACAACTGAATCTTACTCACTGTACCTTTTAGCTTATCTAGCACCTACTGTCATTTTGCATAAGTGATATAAAAAGATATCGGCAACGATGGCAATGGGATTTCAGTTGGTTTCAAAGTCACAGCAGCTAATGTCCCTGTGGTGTGTTGCGAATGTTCTTCATGGAAAGAAATGGTTAATTTCAACTAGAGATCAGTGAAACTAAAGATGTCGTCTTGGGAGCTAAAGAGATGGCTCAGCTGTTAAGATCATGGACTACTCTTGCAGAGGACCTGAGTTTGGTTCTTAGCGTCCATCCAGGTGACTCACAAGCTCCTGTAACGCCAGCTCCGGGGGATCCAATGCCTCTGGCTTCTGTGGGCACCTGCACTCACGTGCACATATCCATACACAGACACATACACATAATTAAAAATAATAAAAATAGATCTTTAAAAAGAATTTTAAGCCAGGCATGGTGGTACATGCCTTGAATCCTATAACTTGGGAGGCAGAGGCAGGTGGATTTCTGTGAGTTCCAGGACAGCGGGGCTGTTAACACAGAGAAAACCTGTCTTGGGAGAAAAAAAAATTCAAAAGATGTCATATTTTCTTCTCCAAGGCTGTATATCTTCAGAATTCAGAGTCTGTTAAAAGGTCAGACACCTAACAGGTCTATTCTAAATCATATTTTATGTAGTCCATCCATATGTCTGCTCAAAAGGGTTCCTGGTATCTATGTGTTTACATTCATGTGTGTGCAGGAGAACTGCACCTTCACGGAAGAATATGCCTACCACCTCACTGGGGCATGCAGCCTTACAGGCTGCCATCCTAGAAGTGGCCTATCATTGAGAAAAATGCCGTTATTCAGAGTGGCTGTTTACGGATCCTTATTCTTCCCCACTCTCCACTCTCTCCACCGTTTCCCTCTTCCTCCCCCAACATCTCTTCCCTTATCCTGTTCTTCCACTGCCTCCCACCTTCCCCTACTTCCCAGGTGCGTATTCCTTCCAGACAATGGTGCATTCTTCGTCAACTACGTGATCACAGCTGCTCTGCTCGGCACCGGCATGGAGCTGATGCGTCTGGGGTCACTCTGCACGTACTGTACCCGCCTCTTCTTTTCCAGATCAGAGCCAGAGAGAGTCCACATCAGAAAGGTGAGGGCCAGCCCTTCTCTGAGCACAACCCTCAGCTCCTGGTGGGAGGGAAAAGAAGTCTGCCAGGAGCAAACTGGGACCCACGATGAAAGGCTTGTGACCATGGGTAGCTGTTTCTTGGACTCCAACAAGGGAGGAAACATTGCCTCTAGGACTGAGCTGCCAGCCAGCTCCCTAGAGCTCCCAGAAGCATCCAATACAAGGGAGCTGGGTAACTTCAGCGTGACCCCTGCCTTCTGCCTTAGAACCAGGCCATGGACTTCCAGTTTGGGCGAGAATATGCGTGGATGCTGAACGTCTTCAGCGTGGTGATGGCATATAGCATCACGTGCCCTATAATTGTCCCTTTTGGTGAGTTATCTGTGAGGTACCCTCAGGGCTACACTTTCTGAAATGGGAGGAGGAACCAAGCTCCACAGCATCAGGCTACCTCCTGGAGCATGAGGCGATCTGGGACAGCCTGTGGCAGGGAGGTGGCAGGGACAGGGCTAGGCCATGGAACTGATTGGATGGCAGCTAACAAGGGGTGTTGGTTGACTGCATGCATGAATGAATGACATCACCAAGCTGGCAGAATCAGTTCTAGAAGGCTGCAGAAGTCATCGCTGTAGGTCTCCCACAGCCCACCCCTGACTCCTGCTACCCTGACAGCCCTGAGTCTGGCCGTTCAGATCCACGGGTGTCTGAGGGCAGCACAGATCTACCCTGTTAGTTAGAGCATCCAGTGAATGTGTCTCTGTTTTCTGGTCCCCCAGGGCTGCTCTATTTGTGCATGAAGCATCTCACAGACCGTTATAACATGTACTACTCCTACGCACCCACCAAACTGAATGAGCAGATCCACATGGCTGCCGTCTACCAGGCCATTTTCGCACCACTCTTGGGGCTCTTCTGGATGCTCTTCTTCTCCATCCTGCGAGTAGGTGGGTGAGCAGCCTGCTCTGTGGTCCCATCTCTGCCTGACCTTTGCCCTGTGAGTCCCTTGAGACCATCTCTGGTCGAAGAAGAGAGCTCAGGGTGAGCAGAACATTGCTCGTAGGACTTGGCCAAGTCCAGCGAGTGCTCTGGGCCACAGTGCATGCATTAGTCTTGGCAGAACTTTGAGACAAAGGCAAAAGTCCAAATGATGCAGATTTGGCTTTGAGTAAGAAATGTCAAATTCCTTCATTTTAAATGTAGATGGACAGAAAATAGAATAGCAGCTTTGGGGACTCCATTCCCATGATATTTCCTCTGGGAGCCTATAAGATACTTGCTTTCATGGACTTGCCAGAACCTGGAAGGGAATCAGATTCTGCAATGGTGGCTAGCCTTTCCTCGCCCTTTGGCTACACAAAGATGCCACTCCTACCTTGGGGAGCCCAGAGGCACCTTCACAGAAATTCTCAGGGGCCCTAGACTGGGAGCTTCTCAGCTTCCTCCCAGCTGGGTCACCCATGTCACTAGGCTGTCCCCAATTCCACTGACTTTCCTTCCCATGACAACTTACTGTGGTGTATTTTTCTCACACTCCTCCGTCAGAATGACACCCTGGATTACACTCACGGCATGTTTATTTGGTAACATCCATTTCCTGACCGGTGTGGTTTGCCCTGCCACTGGGAAGGCATTCCCCCCCCCCCATTAATGCCTTTTTCTAAGTATCAAAACAGAAAAAAAAAATACAAAGACCAAAGTCTGTTCCCCATAATCCCGTCCAGAGTGTGGTTTTATCCCCAGACTCTGGCTAGGCATTTGCTCAGGGGAGAGAGCAAATGTGTGTGTTAGTTTACTGTTATTTATAAAATCGTGACCAACCACATTGTAACTTGTAATCTTAAGTTTTCATCCGCATATTACATTCCACACGGCTTCATATGTTAAGAGTCTGAACCCAGCCTTTCACCAGCGGCATTCGCGTTTGCGTTCAAGGCTACAGCTTTTGTTAGCCCTCTGTGGCTGGATGGTGAGGTTGTTTACCAGTTCCTGCTTTTGCATAGCCACGCGCTGGTGAGCTTCATTTGGCAGTCACCCGAGACTGGAGAGTTGACTTTCCGTACTGACCTTGTTAAAAATCTGTTGCCATTGAGGAGATCAAATATTCATACATGAAAGCTTTTGAACTCTGGTTAGCACCAGGCCTGTGGGGACAAGGAAGCCTCAGAGACTGGGGGCAGTAGCAAAACTGGTAACTCAGATTCTTTTGAGGAACCCTGGGAACAAGTAGTTGGCAGATCAAGATGGACTTGTTTAATGGACATTGGTGTGGGTAATTTAAGTCCATCCAAATTCTATTTTCCATAGAATCCACAATAAGCCACATTCTAAACTGGCCAAGTAGAACAGAAAGATGCCCTTACCATGTCGTGCTCACTGATGCCCGTTCTTGGAGGGAGCATTGTGCAGGGGTTTCTCTGCCCCAGCTCAGTGGTCCTGTGGAGGTTCTGAAGCAGGTGGTCCCAGGCATCTGCAAAGCACTCCTGTGGCCCTGCCTTCTACCCTGATTCCAGCGCTAAGCTCCACCCCCACGGTCTTTCTTCTCCCTGGCAGGTACCCACACCATCACTTTCTTCTCCTTGTCCTCCCTCATATTCTCCGTGATGATTGCCTTTTCTGGAATTTTTCTGGGGAAGCTCCGGGTTGTCCGTAAGTATGAGGTAAGTTGCCAGTTTGCCCTTCACATCACTGATTTTTTTGGGTCCCAAAGACATAGCTCTGAGATACCCTGGTCCCCAGAACACAACAGGACAAGAGGGGTGGGTATTTCTTTTAGACCAAGGTTTCTGGGCTCACATGCACTAACTCAGGGTGGCCATCCAAAGACACCCCCCCGCCGCCCCAACACCTCTTCCAAATAACAGGCTGCTGCTGGCCTGTCTGTCCCACCACAGGAGTCTGATCCAGCTACTGTGAGCATCATGGCAAGGGCTCAGAGAGCGGGAAGGAAGGAGAAATAGAAAGAGACAGGGGATGGTGGTGAATGGAACCCAGGCTATGAGGCACTGGAGGCTGTCTGTTTTGAGGGGTCTCTAGTGAGTCCTCTGGCACTTTGACAAAGGTACCAAGTCTAATCATTAGGCCCTGGAGACAAAACTACCTCCACACCATCTCAGAGCCCTGCCAGCAATGCTGAGTATCTGCGTCAGCATTTCCCAGAGTGAGCATCAATACTGGGACACTGGAATGATTCCCAACAGATGAAACATAATTCTTGCTCTTCATGATTACATACTTGTCTTTCCAACTGACTTTCTGCTGACAATAACTGCTTGTTTATAACAGTGAAAAGTTTCCTTCCTGAACAATGTATATAAAGAAAAGAAAACGGGTTTGAAGCACAGCACCCTGCAGAGGGAGCCTTCTGAAAACATTTCTTCTTGCTCTCTCTGTATCTGGGACTCGGTCGGAGCACAAGCACTGACGAGAGTACCAGGCTTGACTTTCCTTCAACACACACACACACACACACACACACACACACACACACGCACGCACGCACGCACGCACACACACACACACACACACACACACACACACCACAGGCTCTTATACTATGATGTCACCAGACCTGTTTGCCCTTGTGCCACCCTAGAGAAGAAGAGTGGTAGGGAACCTGGTAAAGTTGATTGAGGATCCCTAGACAAAGAACAGCCAGAGCAGAAGCCCCATTCCAACTACGATTATTTCCCCCTTTATGGTTTTGGGAACAGAACATTCCAAAAGGGATTCTTGGCATCCCAGTCATTTCCCTGTTTCTTCTAGGCCTGCTTGTCTGAGGGTCTAGAAAGAAAAAGAGTTAGCTGGGAGGTGGTGGCACACCTTTAATCTCAGCACTGTGGAGGCAGAGGCCAGCCTGGTCTACAGAGCGAGTTCCAGGACAGCCAGGGCTACACAGAGAAACCCTGTCTTGAAAAACCAAACAGAAAGAAAGAAAAGAAGAAAAGGAAGAAAGGAAGGAAGCAGAGTGAGAGAGAGAGAAGAAAAGAAAGATATAGAAAGACAGAGACAGAGAAAAGGAAGAAATAGAGAAGAAAGAAAGAAGAAAGAAAGAAAGAAGGAAGGAAGGAAGGAAGAAAGAAAGAAAGAAAGAAAGAAAGAAAGAAAGAAAGAAAGAAAGAAAGAAAGAAAGAAAGAAAGGAAAAGGAAGGAAGGAAGGGAGGGAGGAAGGAAGGAAGGAAAAGAGAAAGGAAGAAAGGAAGAGGAAAAGTTGAGGGACAAGGTGGCAAGCCAGAGGCCGGGGTGTTGATAGAGGGTGGGAGGGGCCAGGGGCAGCAGCCTCCATCCTGTGATGCACCACGCTCCTGTCCACTGCAGCCTGAGGAAGAAGCCGAGACTGTCTTTGATGTGGAGCCAAGCAGCACGACCTCCACACCCACCTCCCTTGTGAGTTTCTGCCTCCACCCTGGGGACAAGTCAGGAGGGTGGGGGCTTGCAAGGGCGGCTCACTCCAACGACGTGGGCGGGGAGGGGGGGGACACCAGTGTTTAGTGCCTGGCCCTGGGTACTGGGGAGGAGACGGGACCCCTGGGCTCCCTCTTCTGACGCAGCAGGACTTGGCCCAGGTCCAAGTGTTTCCGTGGCCCTGGCTGAAGCATGGGGTGAGAAGATCCAACTCTGGCTTGACAGTCAATAGAAGTCACCCAGAGAGGAGAGAGCCAGAGAGGAGAAAGCCAGAGCGGAAGTACTCGATCAGGGAGGTCCATCTCTCAGAGTCCTCAACCGTGTAGACGCAGGGGCATGCTGGGGCTCGGCCTCAGGACCCAAGGCTGCCTCCAGGGCACAGGCGTTGGCCAGAGCGGTGCAGACAGAGCTGCAGGGAACTGTTGACGGACCCAGTGAATGGTAAGGCAGGGGCAGCGCCCGACTGATGAGCCCGCCAGCCTGCCAAGAGCCAAGGCTGGACCCAGAGTCTGTGACCAGTGGACTGGGCAGAGGCACCCGTGCCCTTTGGCTTGCCTGGATGGCAGGAGCCCTCGCCCTCATCCCTACCGCATGCGTTTAGGCAGTCATCTATGCACGTACAGAGCTGGGCACAGGGTCCTTCATACCTCAGTGTTAGGCACTTCTGACAAGCATGGAAGAAGAGCGCCAGCAGGTCTGGCACTTGGGGGAAGCTTCCCCGAGAAGGGGCCATGCCATGCAGCTGGAGGAAGGGGAGGAAAGGTTGCCAGGTGAAGCAGGGTGTGGGAAGAGCTTTGGAGGAAGAGGAAGAGCCCGGGCAAAAGCCAGAAGAGACGATCTGGAGCCTGTGGGGCAAACAGAAGACAGTGTTCAGCATGAATGTATAGAGCGTGCCTGTGGGCTCGGCCCACAGAGCCTGGAGACTTTTTTTTTTTTTTTTTTTTTTTTTTTTAGTGGTGGCAGAGTTGGGTCAAAGTCCATCAGCATAGGCAGACCCGCCTGGCTGTGTGCACAGACACAAGATGTGTCAGAACCCTAGTGGGCCTCACTTGAAAGGAAAAAGCCAAACTAAACCGTGCCGCCAAACTCTCTGAGAGGAGGCGGTGAAGAGACCGAGAACCGGCCAGGGATGACGTTCTCTGGCCGACAGGAGCACTCTCGCTGGTAGCAGGGGAAATAGAAAGAGCTCGAAGCCTTGCTGTTTTCTCTCTGGATTAATAAACTCCCACGGTCAGGAATTTTAATCCTCAAAACTTAATTATTACCATGTTTGCTGTGTGTGGGAGACTGAGCACGTGGCCTAAAAGCACGTTAGGTAGGCACCCTGCTCAGCCACACTCCCACCCCCTAAGATCCACTAATTTAGACCCCAGTGGACTGGGCAAGGATGTGGCCAAACAGAGTTTGAACCAAGTCCATATGACTATAACATCTGTGCTGTAAAAAAAAAAAATGGATAGAACTCATTATTTATGCATGTATTTATTTTTTGAGACAGGGTTTCCATGTGGGCAGGCTGGCCTCGACCTTCAGGCTCAAGTGATTCTCTTCAGCTTCCAGAGTAGCAGGGACTGCACAGGCGCATGCTGCCGCCTGACTTAAGCTCTTAAAAACCCTTTATGTTTCCGACAGTGGTATATGAACATGGTAGGCAACTGTGGGGATGGAAAACAGAGGAGCAAGACAAAGGAAATAAAAAGTTCATATTCCCACCACCCAGGGATGTTCCCTGAGACACTGGTATACATTCTTCAGGGTATCTACGGATGTGTGCCTCTCTTCCAAGTATCTTATGCTTATATGTACATGTGGACTCCTAGATGTATAGGTGTGGTTTCTGCTCAAATGAAATCCTACCGTACAGACAATTTTATAACCTGGGTAACTGTCAGTGTGTTGCTACATAGATGAATTTTGATCCCTTTGCCTATCCGTATTCAAATGGCCCACATTACCCAACTTTTATACGGGCCCCAACCCAGAACCAGTTGAGTATCCATGCTAGACTGGGACTTGAAAAGATTAAGCCACTCCTGCAGAATGCCTCCACCTTCTAGATTCCTCTGTCTCATCTTCCTGATATCCTCCAGCAGGTTCCCCTCCCTTCCCTAGTCCCTGAAAGCTGGAGCCTGGGGAGGCTCACGTCCAGTGCAGGGGCTAGACTGTATTCCTGGAAGTACAGTGCTTCACCTTGGAGACCTGTAACACCCCATTCATTCCTGTTAGTGGTGTTAATGGGACTGCTGCATATGATGCCAGGTTTTTCCACTGCTCAGCTACCATTTCCTTTTTCATGGTCAAAATGTCTGTGGTGTGTGCTTTGCCGGTATGCATGTGTCTAGATATTTCACAGGACTGTTCCTTCATCGACTAGGGCTGTTTGTTTATATTGGAAGATGAACAGTTTCCTTTCTATTCCATAATTACCTACTTCCAAAGAAAGTAGATTGAAAGCCACTTCAAGAGGCGATAGTTTGCCCCATCTGGTGGTACTTCCTGTGTCTCTAATCTGCCCCCTTCCTGGGCATTCCTGAAACCAGCCCTCAGTGTGACAAGAGCCAGCTAACACTCTCAGTTTTGAATCTGTGACACATTGCAGCAAAGCATTCCAGCTGATGAATGAAGGTCTCTCCAGGCGGACCCTAGGCCATCGCCCCCTAGATTCAGCCTGAGTGGGAGCAGATAATGTGTGGAACACATCCTGTAGATGAGGCGTTAGGAAGCCCGCCACTAAAGTAACCCTGGCAACTCCAAGGTAGTGAACAGGCTTCATCTCTAGGAGCTCACTGAATGATAAGGAGCAAGGCGGAGGATGGGCAAGGCTGCTGGGGAGTGGGGCAGAGAGGGCCCGGGACTTGGAGGGGCAGAGGTGACTGGGTGGGGTATGAGGACAGAGGGTGTACTCTAGACCTTGCTCCCAATATGACCTTGCCTCATCTTCCCCTCTCTGTCCCGAGCAGCTGTACGTGGCCACCGTGCTACAGGAGCCGGAGCTGAACCTGACCCCTGCCTCCTCCCCAGCCCGGCACACGTATGGCACCATGAACAGCCAGCCCGAAGAGGGAGAAGAGGAGAGCGGTCTGAGGGGCTTTGCGAGGGAGCTGGACTCAGCTCAGTTCCAGGAAGGGCTGGAATTGGAGGGCCAGAGCCACTGATTAGGACTCCAGTCAGGGGACCAGGGGAGAGCCTGGTGGAGGGAGACAGGAAGGAGCTCCCTTCCGTAGACTTTGAGAAGCTCCTGATGGAGACATCTGCCATCCTGTGGTCACGTGAAGAGCCGGGCCTGCTGACCGGCTGGAAAGGGTGGGAGGCTGGGTAATCCTGAGGACCCAGGGATGCGGTGGAGGAAGCATTCCACCATGTTTCTGGGAGCAGTGGCTGAAAGTCCAGGACACAAGAGACTGAATGCTGTGTGTCTTGCTGGGGTCCAGCTGGTGAAAGTATGCATAAGGGAAGAGGTAGGCCCACCGAAGGCTTTCTGAGGGCTTCATCACCCCTACTCCAGCTGCCCATCAAAGGTGGTCGCTCCTGACCCCAGTCCTCCACTGCAGTCTGAACAGACAAAGGTATGTGTACTGGGCCTTGTGGAGGAGACCCAGGTGGCTGTCTCGTGACAGGTTTCCCTGCAGAGCATCTAGAAACTCTGTACCTCACCCCCTGAGCAAGGGGCAGCTGGGACAACCCTGGGAAGAGACTGACCCTTCCCTGTTTCTCTGCCCTGCTATCTACTCCTAAGGGTAGTTACTGGGGCAGTGACTCAAGTTCATTAAAGGAGACCTTCATGCATGTGGTGAAGGAAACCATGGCTAATCCTTGCTGGTTGATTTAAGGGTGTGTGTGTGTGTGTGTGTGTGTGTGTGTGTGGTGTGTAGGAGGGCATAGAGTTCAGGAAAAAAAGGTCTTCTTTCCAAATGTGGGCCATGGAAGTGAGACACACCTCTCTAAGCCCCAAGGAAAAAGGAAAAGGTCCCCCAAAGCCTCGAGGCGGCCACCAAGAGCATCCTCTGCCACATGTATTTGAACGCTGTGCCCCAGCATGACCAAGACTGGAGACAGCCCAGGCTGCAAACTGAAGGCACTGGCTACCCCTGCCCTCAGAAGCTGCCCTGCCTGGCCTCCAGTGTGGTACTGGCTAAACGTTTCAGATGCTCCACAAAGTGCTGTCACCCTAGTCCTGGCGGGGTTAGGTGGAGGAGGAGTGATGGGTGCATCCCCCCATGGAGAAGACCCTTCTGGTGGGCCAGCTGCTTCCCCAGATCTGCCTCCAACCGGAGCAGCAAACCTCTGCAATGCTGGAGACTCAGCACCTCTGCCTCTTTCTGAGGTGTTCCCACTTCTGCCTCTGAAGACAGGGCATTGTCAGGCCTGCCATGAGGCCTGAGCCACCTGAACCAAGGGGTCCGTAGGCCATAGAGCCTCTGAAGCTCCTCCCCAGATATCTGGGTCCCTCTTTGCTGCCCGTTCACTACAGGTGGGTCCACTCTCATTCCACCTCAGTGTCTCCACCCAGGTACATGGCTGCCCTGAACTCAGACAGATCCACCTGCCTCTGCTCCACCTCTGTCCCACCCCCCCCAGCCCCACAGTTCCAAACTTCACTCCAGGGCAGAAACGGTTGCTCACGGGGCAAGTAGAGTCACACTCCAGGACTTGGTCCCAAACATTAGCACGGTGATCTTTGCTGAGGGCTTGAGTCCGCGGGGACAGGCTACCTCCATTCCTTGTTGAGCTTGGGATAAGGGGGAAATTACATACAGCCAGGCCCTTACATACTCCAGCACCCCAGGCTCCTCACCCCTGGGATCTCATCAACCAGGGAAAGAACTTTTTTCATAGCAGGATGATGTCAGGTCCAACCTCCAGCTCTCCCCAAAGTGGGGAGTGACAGTCCAACCCCCACAATGTGTATTTGGTATGTAGTGATTTGGAGTGCAACCAGAACCGAGACCAGGGCCTTTTCTCTGGGCACTGCTTGCTGGCGCCTGCCCCAGATCTCTGCAGCTCTGTCTGCTGCTGCTGGCCCTCCCACCTACCCCCCACCCACTGCAACCGATGGATGCTTCAGGTACAAGGGGTCCTATAGACAACAGGGCAGGAGAGCTGGAGGGCTCCGTCCTCTGAATTTGGGTCAAATGTAGCCTGGTTCTGATACGAGTGTTGGGCAAGTGGTAGAGTCCACTCTGCTCTTCCAGGGGCTGTCCACCTGGCTGGACCTTGACTTTGTAAGGTCACCAGAGCCCAGGCTCCTTCATCTTACACATGCCGATGGCTTTCAGGCCCTCCTCAGCACCTGCTGTCCCAGCCCACTGGTCATCATCCTACCCTAACCCACTCTTAGTCCATCCACTCTGATCCCTTCTGGAGAGAGATGCCTCCCAGGAAACCCAGATATCACCTCTCAGAGGCGACCCTTCCTGGGCTTGGAGCAGCCTCACCCCTGCCTGCCTGTCCCTAAGCTGCATCTGGAAGCAAAGTGCCTATCAGCAGCATTGCATCCTCTGGGGGCCCGGGAGGGGTGTGGACTAACCATGGCCACTACCACTAAAGGAATGTGCCGAATGCTGAACCTTCTTGTTATTAATGTATGACTGTGCCTTGAATAAACAAGTCCTCCTAATCTCTGCTGGCCTGTGCCTCTGCCTCTGGGCCGACAGGGCCTCCTCCACCTGGAAGGAGCCAGAGTTGTTAAGGGATGACACCAGAATCACTAGGCTGGGGCACCATCCCTCACTGTATGACTCTTACCCTGGGTCCATTGCTCCCTCTTCTGGGATCTCCTTACTCCCCAAGTCCTTCCCTGGCCCCAATTCTAGGGGGGAATGGGTAGAAGGAAGGGAAGGCCTGTTAACTGTTGCTAGTTGGTTTGGAGAGGCAGGAAGCAATTCTGCCTCCTTCCTGTGCAGCAAGAGAGTGCCACCCCATGGACCAATGACACAGTAGCAACCCTGGCTGAGTGCTGAGTCTTTGAGTGGGTGACTGACCCAGGTCAGCAGATAGGCTAGATTTCAGGTGGACACCCCCAGGCAGAACCATAGACAGGGCTCCGGCCTGTACCCGGGGATACGGAAAAGAGGCAGGCCACAGAGACAGCGAGTTTCAGGGAGAGTCGGGGACAGTCAGGTAGACCTGGGCAGGACAAGAAGTGGCCCAGGTGAAGTTCTTGCACTTGTTCCCGACCAGATGACATGCCTCTGGGCTAAGAGGCCCGAGTTCTGGTCTTCTTCGCCCATGTGGCTGACACTAGGCTGTCACTTTGTCCCCAGAGTAAGAGGGGGATGACCTGAGTTCCACATGCTGTAGAGGGCAGAATCAACTGTGGTGGAGGACAGGCTAGGTTGGGGAGAGAAAGCCTTATTCCTGCAGCTCCCTGTGGAGACAGATAATCATCTTGGGTTGGACAGCTGTTTACTGTCACCACCCTTACAGAGCCATCTCCTTAAGCTCTTGATCTGTCCGTGGGCATGGGTTCGAGGCCCACTGCAGTGTGAGTCAGGAAATGAGACCAGGCCCCCTCGTCCTGTCCCCTCTCCCCTTGAAACAGGTGCTTCCGTGATTGACAAAACTGCGTCAGGAGACAGGGGTCTTGAGAAGGGCAGAAGGGGCAGGGCCTACGGTGGCTGTCAGCTTAGCAGCCTTGAGCTACTGCAAGAGAGGGGGGTCCACAACCCAGGAACCCTGTTAGGCCAGCCATCTCTCAGGGGTCTCTTCTTGGAGACTACAAGCCTCCAGCTTGCAGACATTGGGCCATTCCTTGATTCTACCACCCTTTCAGGGGATATTGCTCGGATGGACACAAAAAGACCAGAAGAAAGCCTGGAAGAGGATGCTCTGTAGCCCAAGGTGGGGGAGTACGTAGAGGGTGAGGGAGTGGATCCCCTTACTTAGCAGGCAAGGAGGACTGGGGGTGGGACTAGGAACAAGGCAAGAGTGAGGCTTGGTGCCAGGAAGGCCTAGAATGCCAGCCACTGGGCTGTGTCCACAGGGCAGTGTACCACCCAACCAAGTGCCATACTGGGTACCACAAGCCTAGGCAGAGCAGGAAGGCCTGAGGCTCCTTGCAACTCTGCCTGGAGACCTTCAAACACAGAACAGGTGGAGGAAGCTCTTGGCCACCCTACCACTGCTGTCTCTCAGAAGGTCTGTCCTGAGGACTATCCTTGCTGGCCCAGCTGCAGGCTTCTAGGTCGCTCTGTGGGAGGCCCTGGGACATGAGGGAGCTGAGGTTCCAAGAAGACAGGCTCCCAGCTCTGCCCAGCAGAAACTGATTCTGAACATCTGCCAGGCCCTTGGCCTTGACAAGCTGCAGTTCAGCACCACCCAAGCCTCTGTTCTAGGGCCAAGTGGGAGTATCCTAGATAGACCAAAGTTTCCGAGGTGGTACCTGGTGACCTCTGTTACAGAAATGCCCAGCTGAGTATAGCAGACACAGAGGAGAACAATCCCTCCTCAGGCACCACACACTCTTGCAGACCTCGCTGTCATCAGCCCAGGCTAGAATGAGCGATGGGCACAAATCCCGTCATACGGATCTTACTCTCCAATAAATATGACCATTATTTGGTCCTGAGAGCCACATCCTGGGCCTCGGGGCCCCTTCTACTTTGTCAACTTCAGCAACTGTTTAAGGAATCGCCTCTTCTCTCTTCTCTAAACATAGCCCAGAGTGGTTTTCATGACAGCCTGCCCATTCCTAGGCAAGAGAAGGTTCCAAGCGCAATAAACAAGCCCGTTACATAATGGGATGTCAGGCAGGGATAAGTGCTTTGAAGAAAGAACAGAACAAGAGGAGGGAAGGGAATGGCTGTAGGCGGGAGGGCATTTCTGTCCTCCACGACTCAGGACGAGCTCCTGGCGATGGGGTGTGGGAAGAGTGGAGGGTCTATAAGAGTAAGTACAGGACTCAGTAGCAAGGAAGCTAGAAGGTCCGAAGCAGAGCGAGCCAGGAAAGGGCCAAGGCAAGTTCTGAGACAGCAGCAGGGCCTTGTGGGACTCCGTCAGGACTCCAGACTTTCCTCTGGTGATGTGGGGAGCTACCAGGGCATTCCTAGCAGGAGGGTGACATGATTGTTTGATGTAATCTTCATTTATTTTTTCAGATTATAAAGTGAACACTTTTTTTTTTTTAAATTGAGTCTGGCTTTTATAGCCCAGGTGGTTTCACCAACTCTTCAGTCTTCTGAGCTCTAGGATTACAGGTGTGTGCCACCATACCCTGCTATCTCAATCACTTTTAAGTATACAGTTAAGCACTGGTAAATATTTGTTATAAAGTACAGTCATCACTCCCAGCCACCTTGGCAACTTTTCATCTCACAAGTCGGGGCCTCTGTACCCACAGAATAGACCTTCTTTCCTCGCCCTCAGCCCCAGGAACCAAGGACACCCTCGTATAGTGAGGCGAACGCTGTGGCCAGCGGGGAGCAGACATTCCAACTGGGACTCTGTGAGAGGGGATAGGTTAATTAGGATGGAGCAGAAAATGAAGAAGACAGCAGTGGCGTGATATGTCGTCACAAGGGCCAGGAGTCCCGTGTGGAGAGAGGTGGGCCAGAGAGAAGTCCAGAAGCCAGGATAACGGTAGTAATACAGGAGGCAAAGAAGGATGGGAAGGGAAGGCCTGGGGCATGTTGCATCTGGTCACGCTACATTAGAGACACTACTGGCTGGATAAGGAAGTTAGGCTTGAGGCGGGTGTGTGTGTGTGTGTGTGTGTGTGTGTGTGTGTGTGTGTGGTGTGCTTTAAACCCAGGGTCAGTGAGGATGAGGTTTAAGCAAGGCACTGGCCAAGACTGTAAAGGGAGCAAGCATGGGTGAGGAGGAAGCCCGGAGGCTGAGCCAACACAGAAGGAGAAGAGACTCCGCAAGGCAATTAGAAGGATCTATAAGGAGGATCCGAGGAACCAGGAGGGGCTCAGGGAGGAAGCGGGGAGCCTCAGGGCTCACCGCTCATGACAGAACTATGCCAGAGAACCAGGAAACATCAGCCAAGTAGAGGATGCTGGTCATACTGTCAACCATCAACCTGGTTTCTCCCATGAGACAATGGAAAAGGAAAAGGGGGAGGGGGAGGAGCTGGTGTAGATGGAAAGACTTGAAAGACTTCACCAAATGCAAAGCACGGACCAGATGCAGAAAGAGGGTTCTGAGATATTAGGGGAGCTGGAATCCGGACAGGGATGAAGTGATGCTGTGGGATTCATGAGCTCAAATGTGAAGAGAATATCTATGGACACATAAGGAAGATGAAAAGGCAAAGAACACGGAGCCTGGCTGAGAAACTCTCTAGCACAGAGAGAACAGGGAAGGGCCAGCCTTAAGGTGATGCTAGATGGGGTCCATGTGGACTCCGTACTCCCTGGATTTTTGCAGCGGGTAGCGTTTTTCCATAAAGTGTGATCAACTCTAAGTGCTGCTGAGCAGAACAGCCAGCGAAAGGCTGAGAAAGGACCCCTGAATTGGGCAAGATGGAAGTCACTGGTGCCTTCGATCAGAGAGTGGAGACAAAATCTGGCAGTGGTAGGTTCCCATTCTCATAAAGTTTGGATAACTGAGTTATAACTGTCATTAGGTCACACGAGGGAGGGCAGGTTGGGAGGGGACAAGATCCTGTTCCACTGCAGCCTTGCTGGACTGGAGAAAATGCTTTCTGAGCAACAGCGGGAACAGCATTTCCGGAAGGCTACTGATCAACGTCTGCAGCCCCCCTCCCCACCAAGCCCTGCCATCGGAGCTGAACAGAAAAAAACTGCCCAGCTGACAGCATGAAAATCCAGCTGGCACCGGCTGCCCCCTATCTGTACTGTGAAGAAGCAGCCCCAAGACAGGGCAGCTGCCTCAAGACAGTCTGTTCCCAGGCAACTGCAGGCCCATTCCCGGAGCCCTGGAGCCTATGGGGGAACTAATCCACCTGCTCACGTGATGGTCACTTTTCATGCTGTGCTCTTCCATCATGTTCCAAGCTGTCTTTATGGCCACTTGCCTGTGGGGTCCCACACCCTAGACCCATGGACTACTTCCCTTGGGGAATAAGTGTGCTGCGTGTCATATGTGACTACTAGGTATCATTGTGTGCTTGACAGACACAACATAGGAGGAAATATTTATTCCATCTCATGACTCCAGAGGATCTCAGACCACCCCAGCAGGAGGACATGGCAGAGTTCACGGCAGTAGGTATGGATGATGATGATGGTGCATCTTCATATCCTGGTGGACCAAGAAGGGTGGGACCAGAACCAGGGATCAGGCGCCCACCTTCAAAGCTTCCTTAGTACCCACTTTGATCAACCAGATCTCACCTTCTAAAGGTCCCACGGCCCTCAAGATAGTTGCCACAAACTAGGCCACAAGCAGTCAAAACTATCCCACTCAGATTCAGACCATGGCACTGACCATCCCCAAGCACAAATACAAGAGAAGGTTCTATCACTTTCAAACTAAGTTCTAAATGGGCAATGCTGGGGACAGGGTGCCTTCTCTACGCAGCAACGTAGGGACAGGGCTCTTTCACTCCTGTGTCCAGTACATGACCTCCAAGGTCACCATGAACTCTGCTTTAAACTAGAGAATGACCGAGCATGAGGGACGTGTGGACGTTGGAGCTGGGCATGGCGTGTGTGGAAGTGCTCCCCATATCCACACAGACTACTGTTAGAACTGTCCCCTGTCCCGCCTGGAAACTGGTTGATCCACGTGTGCCGCGAGAAAAGAACTGGATTTGGTGGCCTCACAGCCAGTCTTAACTCAAGACCTACAACTCCTCCACCACCTTTGCCTCGGGCCTTCCCTTCTGGACCTCTTCCTTTCCACCCACTCAGGCCTTGGGCCTGCTGATCCTATCCCCCCCCCCCCCCCCCGATCCTGCTCTGAGCCTCGGTACTCTGTAGCTTTATCTGGCACAGGTCAAGGCCCACAAAAAGACCAGCCATGGAGGTTCAGCACACAGAACATGTTTATTTCTTGTGAGTGAGCGTATAGATTCACAACACAGAGCAAGAACGTGTGGGTGGCTGGGGGTGGGGACAAGGGCCTTTCCCACTGTATTCTTTCCCGCTCATCTGCCCAGGCACAGTTCCCCCTCAAGGGTTAAACACAGAGTTAGGAGCCCGCAGCTGGAGGGTGGCCAGTGAGCAGAAGAGGGTGGGGAGACAAGATTCAGCCCTGCTAGACTAGAGCAGCAGGAAGAGCCTTGGAATCCAGGGCCATGTGGGATGAGGTCACTCCTCCTCGCCCTTAGTAGCCTCTCTGTTCCAGCTGGCCAGCTTGGTTCCCCACCCCAAAAAGAATCCTGGGGAACTTCTACCAGAAATGCTGAACCAAGAACATAGGAAATTTTGTATAGGGCATCTGAGCTTTGAGACCTTGGGTGCTCACTGCCACTGAAGAACACCATTCTCCCTGTTCCCCTTCTCTGAGCTCCCCAGAAACACTAAAGATGCTCCTTCTCTTCATTTTTGGAAGGTAAGCAGCCTGGCAGGAAAGCATCAGACACTGAGCAGACGAGATGGAAGGTTCTAGAAACCTAGTCACTTTACCCTCACCTTGGCTGAGGCTTCTCTGAGAAGAGCCCCCACGCCACCTCGCTGACCAAACTCTATTTTGCCTCATGGGGAGAGCTAACCAGGCATGCAGGGGTGCATCATCTGTGGGGATGAGAGGAGCCCAAAGGCTCCTCTGGAAGGAAAAACCACCCCTCTGCAGCTGACCAGGAGCTGAGACAGAGCCCTCTTCCACCACCTCTCTGGGATGGCCAAGGGGATGAGGGCCAAGGTGCAGAGGAGCCCTGGGGGAGGGGCTGAGGCTACTATAGACAGATGGACAGACCGAGACAGGTGAGGGCACTGGCTCTTCTCTTACTCCTCATCCCAGCCTCGGCTCATGGCTTGCACCACAGCTCCGTAGAGTTGGCTCCAGGCGTCCCTTGTGGCTGGTGTGAAGTCAGGACCGAGGCACCTCTCCAGCATGTAGAGCAGGGACTCACCCACTGTCTGCAGAGAGGCAAGCGGTACTTAGTCATCTGAAGGCAGGAAGGCATCACTCCATTTACAGGTGAGAAAGCTGAGGCCCTGGGCCAGTAAGGGTACATAGGCTTTTCCTCTCTCCCTCACAGGCTCATGCTTCTTAAGCAGGCCCTGAGTGTAACCTGGAGCGTCACCCTGTGCCCACCTTTCCCTCTAGATGTGAGGATTACAGTGGATAAAGAGCATTTCATCTCGCCGGGCGGTGATGGCTGTGCACGCCTTTGATCCCAGCACTCGGGAGGCAGAAACAGGCGGATCTCTGTGAGTTCGAGGCCAGCCTGGGCTACAGAGAGAGATCCAGGACAGGCTCCAAAACAACACAGAGCATTTCCTCTTCTATCTTTACAACCACCTCATGAGAGGGGCCTATGCATTGCCTGGGGACTGTCCGCTCAGACCAACCACGTCAAGTGCCTGCGGATTGCACTTTTGCCACCTGCAAGGTAGCAGTGAGATTAAAAAGCCTATCTCGTGCAGCCAGGGAGGCATGAGTTCAGATTCCGACCAACACTCACAGCCTAGATGACCTGGCGCAGTTTGCCCTACCCTCCAAGCCTCAGCTGCTTCATGAGTAAGACGGAGAACAAAAACCCAGGTTCTGTAAAAAGCCCTTGGCACAGCAGCTGCACACAGGATACCTTATCATTCATCAAGTAAAAGTAGGTTTATTTATCCCACATGTATTACTGAATATCCCCAAAGGACCAGGTGCTGTGAAAATGCCCAGATGGAGACGGCAGTCAAGGCCATCCCTTGTGACTGGTTCTGGCCAGCAGGACATTAGTATAAGCTCTTGCCCACTGGGGCTTGTAGCAGTCCTTCCTTGCTGAGACTTAGCTAGCCTGAGGAAGGTTTAAAAGCTCACGGGTCGCCTTAGACATCCTAGCCCCAGTGGAGGTACACTCAATATATAGATGACTCCAATCAGACTCCGGGGAAAGAATTAAGTCTAGCCACAAGAACTCAGAAATTGCTCTAAGGGAGGACTTTTGAGGTGGTCTGACACCTACAGAAAGGTGTTCAAATCAACTGATGCCAGGGTCACTAAGCCTTCATGGTTCTTTTTGTTTGTCTGTTTGTTTCGAGACAGGGTTTCTCTGTGTAGTTTTGGTGCCTGTCCTGGATCTCGCTCTGTAGACCAGGCTGGCCTCGAATTCACAGAGATCCACCTGACCCTGCATCCCGAGTGCTGAGATTAAAGACATGCGCCACCACCGCCCGGCCAGCCTTCACGGTTTTTTTTTTTTTTTTTTTTTTGGTTTTTCGAGACAGGGTTTCTCTGTGTAGCTTTGCGCCTTTCCTGGAACTCACTTGGTAGTCCAGGCTGGCCTCGAACTCACAGAGATCCGCCTGGCTCTGCCTCCCGAGTGCTGGGATTAAAGGTGTGTGCCACCACCGCCCGGCAACGGTTCTTAAAGAAGCCTCATTAAAGAGAACTCTGAGGCTCTGAGAGGTCCGGTCAGTATCGGGCACATGCAGGCAAGTAACTAGAGTAGGTCTTTATCTCTGGTCATCGAGAAACTGGGAATGTGGAGGAAGGCCAATGGACTTTGTGGGGGGGGGGGGGGCGGTGCTGGGAAAGAGTGGCGGCTGCAGCTCTGGAGTAAGAAAGTACCCCACTACCCACCGAGAAGGAGCTGAGCCTCACTCCCACAGCCCGGTGCTTCCTGCCCAAGCCGGCCAGGTACTCCTCCAGTGAAGAAAGGTCCTCCGCATGGGTCGCTGCAGTTTCAATTACCAGCATCACCTGTCAAGGACACAGAGGGTCCAGGCCAATCCTAGCTGCTTACCACCACAACCTAACACCCAAACTTCTCAACCAACGAGGCTTTTAGAATGCCGTTGTCCAGGGTCAGTGGTGGCAGGCAGCCAGTGTCTGTATACAGTAGGTGCTCAGCTACCAAATTTCCACCCATGAAGCAAGCCCTTCTCTTTTGAGGATTTCAAAACCTGTGACGTACCTGTAGAACAATACTGCCCGCATGGGACAAGGGTAAACTGAGGTGTTGTAAAGAGCGTGAGCCCAGCCTAGTTTTCATAAGCAGGTAGCTCCAAGTGGCCAAGATCCACCGATACAATCCATGGGAGCCAGAGGACAAGACTGAGAACACCGTACCAGGCTGGGTCCAGCTGGCTTGAGGACAGGGTGGGGGAGGAGGCTGGGTCCAATCCAGAGCGATGGGAAGGGTGTGTGTGCGTGTGCGTGTGTGTGTGTGTGTGTGTGTGTGTGTGTGTGTGTGTGTGTGTGCATGTGTGTGCGTGCGCGCACGTGTGCTGTCTTCCATATCCCAAGTCCCTTCTTCCCTACCAAGACAATGTTCTGCAGGTCTGAGACCTCATGGCTCTGCCTCCCTCACCTTCCTAATGTGGTCCAGGAATTCTGGGGAGGAGAGACAATCCTCAGGGCTGGAGAACTGGCGGCCGTTGTACTGGAAGAGAGGCAGCAGGCTGGGTTCCAGGGTAAAGAGCCTGTGGGTTGGGAGCAGCGATCATCAGCAGTGAGCGGCAACCCAGCAGACCCTGGCTGCTCAGAAGAAAGCCACAGGACCTTCCTAACGGGGTACTGCCAGCTTAGTCAACGTGCCCTCATCCCTTCTTTGGGCACCCTCCAGAGGACACTGAGTCCCCAGCCTCTGACATTACCTGGCAGACCGTAGCTCCTCCTCAAATAACTGAGGTGACTTGAGTTTGAGACAAGCAGGAATTTCAACCCAAAATCTAGGGGAAATTTCCTTTTGGGATCCAAACTTGCCAATGTTCTCATATCTGAGGAGGCTGGGTGATGACATCAGGAACACACGCCTTGTACTACTGAGCACTCAGCAATTTTTATCCATTAACTATAGTTGTGTACCCCTCATACTTTTAAGCTGTGAGTTCAGAGGAGGCAACGGAAGCCCAAAGACTAAGCAAGCTGCTTTAAGTAACACAGTAAAGTCACAGTGGGCGCCAGAGTAGAGGGGGAGGAGTTTGAAAAAAAAAATACAGTTGGCACAAACAGAAAATGTCAGCCTCGCTGGGGAGAGCTTGCCCTTGTGTGTCACTCTTTTGTGTAACTAAATGTATTCCCTTTCCATCTGGGAGCGGTTTTGCAAAGTCCTTTTCCGAAGTTTTGGATTGGCCTAGGGATCTGCAGTGAGAGAGGAGTGTGGGCTTTTGGTGATGGCAGAGCCTGAGGTGAGGCTGTAAACCGGCCGACCTTCTCCCGTGGGGCCTGCTTGCTCCTTCTCTCTCTCTTCCCGGTGGTGAGACTGGACGCCTGTCGCCCCTCTCCTGGAGCTTCTCTGGTCTTAAGCCCGTGTTTTCCTCGGATGAGTTCATCTGGCTGGGGACTGGGTGTGAGCTCTCCCCAGCCGCGACGACGTGGCCTCTTTCCACTCCAGGGTGGGTGGGGGGGAGCAGGAGCCCGTCCCACGCCCCAGCGGGCCTTCGGGTCACTCATCTCCTCCTCCCAGCCCGGCCCCTGTGGGCGGCCCTGCAGTCACTACCCATTGAGACATCACAGGGTAGGGCAGAGGGCACTGCATCCACCTGCCTGCTCGGGGGTGGGTGGGGTGGTGCGGGTAAGGGAACCCAGCGCCCCCCCCCCCCCCCCCCCCCCCCGTCAGTTCAGGTGGGAGTCGCTATCTGGGAAGAGCAGACGGGACAACACCACCTGTCGCTGCGCGCACACCCCTCTCTCCGGAGCACCACTGCAAGCGGAGGGAGCCCGTTTCTCCTCCTCTGGTGACAAGCCCAGCAATCTGAAACCCACTGCTGCTGGGCACCCCTCCACTTGCATCCCGGGGCCCGGCAGCGCTCACCTGGAGAACAGGACAGTGCCATGTTCCAGAGGGCTGCGGCTCACCGTCCGCCAGCTCTGCCGGATCAGCTCCGACTCTGGGCGCTCCATGCTCTCCCCGGAGAGATGCGGGAGGCAGGGATGGGACCCCTCGGGGCTTGGGTGCAGTCACTGCACGTGCAGCGCCATGTCCGCGGCGACGTGGGGGGGATGGGGTGGGGTGGGGAGGGGGGGGTCCAGGCCCAGCGCCTTAGTTGGGCGGGGCCCAGCAACTGCGCCTTCGCTGGTCCAGCGGAGAGGATGCGTACCCGCTTGCGCTTCCGGGGACCCCGCTCGGGCAGCGGCGCCCTGTGCCCCGAAGCTCCCAGAGAACCGCCCTTTAAAGCTACGGAGGTTCCCACCCCCTCCGGCCTAGGGAGGCTTGTGTGCTCCCTCGGCACCCGCCTCAAGCAGGGACGACCCGAGGCCTGGGAAATGTCCAGGCTTCAGAGCCTAACAGAAATCGCTGAGCCTCCGGGTTTGCTTCACTCTCGAAAACTAGCAATGCACTCAAAAACAAACAAACAAAAGACCGTGAGTGGTGGCGCATGCCTTTAATCCCACCACTGGGGAGGCAGAGGCAGGTGGATCTCTGTGAGTTCGAGACCAGCCTGGTCTACATCGTGAGTTTTAGGGCCGTCAGAGCTTTGTGGAGAGACACTGTCTCAAAATAAAAGGGCTGTAGGTTTTCTGGGCCTAGCTAGCTAGTTCAGCGAGTTCCAGGTTCAGTGAGAGATTATCTCAATTAGTTGGAGTGCCTGAGAAAGACACATAAATTAATACTATTTTCTAAAAGTGGCTCAGGTAAGTCCTGTGCTTGCCATTCCGCGTCTGCAGCCTGTCACTTAGCACTGTTGTTCTCTTTCAAGCATCCAAGTTCTTTGGTCCCAGCGCAGTTCCATCGGCTCAGGCATTGGAGAGCACGCTATTCATCTTTCACTGTGGACGCTCTAACCTCTCTCCTCTCTTCTGCAGCCTCAGATGTAAGGGTGTGAGTGGTAAGGTCTCTAGAGTCTTTTGTTGCATGGATGCAAATCAGTGTCCTTGGTCTTTAGTTATGAAGAGCCTGTAGTTCCATGGGCAGCCCGGTGCTGGATGTGCTCAGTCCCATGCCTTCTAGAACTTTCTAGGGGCGCCTTTCTATCCTGTTCCAACCAAGCTCCTAAGATTGATGTTCCGGAACAACCTATTCCACTCTTCTCCATCTCTCTGTTTATCTTTGGATCCCTCGACTGGAGCAGGAGAGCCAAGGGCAGCCTGGCAAAAAGCCCACATCCTAACAACTTCGGGAGACCCCAGGCAAGGACACAAAGGGAGGGAACTTTCTGCAATCCATCTGGCCGGTCTGCATCTTCCACTCCACCCAGTTTTTACTTCCTGGAAGTCCTCACTCAAGACCCTTGTTGCCTCTTCTCTCCATCAGAGGTCTGAGGAGTTCATGAGAGCAATGGACTCATGCCTTCCACGGAGGAACCAGCACCCAAATCCGCAGCTCCTGTCTTCCCGAAGTCAGGAGTGACAGGACTGTGTGTTCCAATCTCTGCTCCCCTTGGGGGTGACAGAAAAACTAAGTGTGCTCTAATCTCTGCTCCCCTTGGGGAGAGGCCCCAGGATCTGGTGTAGCCTAAGCAGTCAGGGAGAAGTATCCCCACCACAGATGGTCTGAATTCTGCTTTGAGGGGCTAGAGGGGATCTCTACTTCCTGTGGGATATTCACACAGGAGGTCACAATCTAGGACAGTTGAAGTGTTCTCTAGTCAGGGCTGTCAATGTGTCCTTGATGTCTTTAAAGAGTCAGCAGATTGGGCATGTGTCCAGACACTCTGCCCATTAGCTGTGTCCCAACAGCCCTGTGAAGGAGATGTTATTTATTATACTCTGACCTTACAGTTAAGGAAATGGGAGGCAAGGAGGCTAGCTGGCCCAGTCGCACAGTTAACAAAATGGAGGGGCCAGAGCTTAACCTCAGTTCTGATCATCTGACTTATTCTCTCCACTGCCTCCCTCAAATTAATAGACCACAACCAAAAGCCACGCCCATAACTCAGACTGAGCCAAGGTTACTGGGTCTGAGTGAGAGTGTGCTGGCTAGTTCATACAGCCTTACAGCTGACTGTGCACTCTTCCCAACTTCTCATTCATGGACATCAAGTCAGTGCCTTGAAATGGCCACAGAGGAAGTGTCTGCACCATGGAAAATGGCAAATGCTATAAACCAGGGCATAGTTTTGCCCCCATAGGAAATCTGTTATAAAATATTTACCTCCACTGGTCTGAGTACCCTTGGGGGAGCCCGGAAAGCCTGGGTCTTAGCTGTACATTATGCAGAACTTTATACAAAGCATCAGGCTGAACTACACCCCAGCTGTGCCTAGCCTCTCTCAGTGTCCAGGGCTTCAAGGGTACCCCAGGCAGGTGCTTCCAGTCCAGAACTGGGCGGGGCTGGAGAAGCTCCAAAGACTCCTTTTGCACCAAGTCCCGCCTCATGATTTTCTAATTGTGGATCATTAGGTAAGTAATATAATCTCTCATGGGTACAATGGAGACAAGAGCAGTGGCTTCCCTGGGCCTTAGGACTCAATGTTACGTGTATTAAAATGATGTTAACTGGCTGGCAGGGTGGCACACGTCTTTAATCCCAGTACTCGGGAGGCTGAGGCAGGCTGATCTCTAAATCTGAGGTCAGCCTTGTCTACAGAATGAGTTCCAAGACAACCAGGGTTACACAGAGAAACCCTGTCTCAGAAAACAAAACAAAACAAAAAACCAGATGTGTTCTAAGCTATTGCCATTCACAGACCGTTTGGTCCCTTTCTGATTTGCCTGTGCCTGGCATCTTCCTGATGCCACCTCCAGAGTGGTAGGAATGACCTATCTTCCTCCCCAGGCTGCCTCCTGCCATATGGTCCCTAGGGAGGCTAAGAGGTAGTCCAGAAGACTCCCAGTTTCACAGAGGCACTAATCCCTTCGACCTTGACCTTCAATCCAATGCTGTCAGCTGTCACCTTCTGTGTATTCTACGGGGAGTAGAGGAAGCCCTGAATGAAAGTAAGGAGCAGACGAAGTCCCGAGAGAATGCGTATTATTGAAAAGGTCCTCAATGCCTCAGACCCATGGGGATTGGCAAAGCTTTCCTCTGGTGCCTGTGGGAATGTTGATAAAGTGTACAGAAGGGATGGACCCCAGCTTCTTCCTTCAGGATGTCTCTCCAGCAGGCAGAGACTGCCCCTTAGGAGACCTCCGACTGAGACTAGCTAACCCCTCCCCATGCTGTGTATAATAAACACACTGAGGCTCCAGGCACGTAGCTGGTGCATCTCCATCATAACTCACATGTCCCAGCTTTTCTGCATGTGTATCTGTTACTTCCTCCTTTCTGCATCATCCCAGTCAGGTGTTCAGTACCATGCCCTGCAGAACAGGGTGGATCCTTTACAGCTGGCACTCTGGACAGAAGACCATGTCAGGATGGGGCCCTCTGCTGATAGGATAGGAATTTGCTATCACACTGGGCCTCACAGCTATCTCAGAATTAGGGGGAAAATGGTTCCCTTGTTTCTTTCTATACTATCTGGGAAAGTTAAACAAGAAAAAAGTAGGCTCAGCTTCTTACTGGTTTTAGCTTAAGGAATGGAAACAGTCACTATCTCTCATGTAAGCAAGTACTCAGGAAGGCCCACAATCCCCTGGTATTAAGCCAGCATCTCAGCTGGAATGAGAATGGCCCCAGCCATGAGGTACCATGTTGGTTCTTGCCATCTAAACATTTTTCTCAAGGGCAAGTCAGATCCAATTAAGCACAAGAACAATGTAGTGTCGAAAACAAGAGCTATTTATTACAAAAGTAATGGTCTCAGGTTATCTCTGGAAACTTAAAAAAAAAGAAAAAAAGAAAGAAAACAAAACGTGGCGAGTCAAGACACTGGCTGGGGTGGGCTGCTTGGTACATCCTCCTCCTTGCCAGCAGTCTGAGACATACCACACCTCTGTCCATTCCTGAGGGCTGCAGCCCACATGCAAAGCAGCATCCTAGAGCCCACTGCCCTCCGTCTTCCAAACAGAACCCAAACATTTAGTGATGTCACTAAGTGGCCTTTTCCTCGTAGACGTACCTGCCAGTTTGGGTATGGAAGAAGAGGGAGTAGGTGGGGAGCACCCTTCTTCCCATATTGGAAACAAGAGACCCCTTCTGTCCTCAGTGGGACATTAGGGGGAGGGGCGTGTCGGAGCCCACTGACTCTCCCATCTACTCTGGCTCTCAAAGGCTACCTACCCCCTGGTTATTTCAGGGTTCCTTCCCTCTAACAAGTGCCTCCAGATATAAGGCACAAGAAAAATCAGCCACCTGTTAGATGCCCCATGGGTCACCTTGTTTTGAACCAAGCAAATTCCTGCATCCCCTCTCAGGAGAATCTACCCAAACGTTACCCCCACTGGGCTCGAAGAAACCAGCCCTGCCTGAGCCTGCAGGCAAAGGTTGGGGAGGGCAATGGGAGCGGAGCTCCCCAGTCCCTGCCAGAAATACAATTAAGCAGGCAGTTCAGCCTCCACACATAAGCCACACTTCTGCTTGAGGGGAAGAGGGGAGTCAAAAAGGGCTGCAGCCAAGAGAGAGGATGGTCTAATTAGCTACCTTGCCTTGCTCTTGACAGGGCTGCATTTCCTCTATTAACCTTAATGATGCTCTAGCTGAATGTCCAAGCAAGGCCCAGAAGCTTCCCTCTCTACCACTCTAGGTAGCACAGCCTGTCCCTGAGACCAATTCCCAGTCTCCATGGCAACCACCTCCTGAAGATGCTTTAAAGAGCTCTGACCCTGTCAGAGTCGTTGGAAGCTACAGTGGAGGGAAGATGGAGTGTGGCAAATTCATTATTAAACTTGAAATATCAAAATCTTCTGGGATCAAATAATTAGTCTGTTCTGAACTGAAAGGAAGAAGGCAGACTGAAGGGCTGCTCTGGAGTTGGTTTAGTTCTGACCAATTTTCTCACTCCCTTTGAGCAAGGAAACGGAGGGCCAGCTCTGAGCTTCAGGTGGTGACAGGAGAAGCTGTCATGTGTTTGCAGGTGCTCTGGGTCTTTTGGGAAAGACAAGGCAGTGTCAGAAAGGAAGGAAATGACAAGGAAGCAAAAGACGGTCTTATCGGGGAGGGCTGGGAGTGTGAAAACAGGAATGCCATGCAGGA